CATCTGAAATATATGAGTTTGTATGTAATGTATGAATATAATATACAAGTTTCACTTTTTAAATGGAATTACTGAAATCAATCTACTTTTTCATGATATTCTAATTTTATGACCAGCACCTGTATGTATATATATATATATATATATATATATATATATATATATATATATATATATATATATATATGTATATGTGTGTGTGTGTGTATTTATTTATTTATTTTTTTTCAGAAAAAAAAATCGAAAAACAAATAACAATTACTTACTGAACCATTTCCATGCCACTGGATTTTACTCTGGTTGATGGCGAATGGAATAGACTCATAGTACTTGTAAAAGCCAACCTCCTCAGCTGCACCCATCTTGTTCCAGAAAACTATTGCATATGATCCAAACTTGGGGTCACCATTTTCATCAAATGTAACCCTTTGTTTTAGAAGTGTAAAGTTGGAGTGCCACAACTCTTTTAGTACCTGTTGTCAGAAAGAAAGCATGGATTATCGGTAGGTTTCTTTATGTGCTGTTTATGGTAATTAGAGGTAAGTATAAAATTATATTATTCTATGTTGCAAGTGTTTATAATGAGGTACTAATACAAATGATTTTGATTAAGAGGTACATAGAGCCTATATCGCACATATTGACCCTTTTATGCATTTCTTTCTCCTATTAGGGATGATTTTTCCACTTACAGTTTTGAAATCATCAAAACACTACTAAAAAAAACTGTTTAATATACAAATATGGGCTCTGTGTTTTATATCTGCTTAAAATATTTTGATATTTTCAAATTGTATTTTTAATCTGAAAAATGAGTGAATCTTTCCATCCATATAGATGTCAGCCGTCTTTTCAAGTTCTAGTTTAGTGACTTGTTTATCCAAATGGTCAGGCAGTAACTGGTCCTGATATGACTGGTGAAATAGTACTACACCCGAAACATTTGGTAAATCAGTTATGATGTACCACAGAGGCTGTTTTATCATCACACAGATTTGAAAAGCTGCTTTTCGTACTCTGTCAAATTATCTTTCTCTTATATCAAAATTCTTAATCTTAAAGATGTAATCGTTGCAGAAACTTAGACCAGCAGAAATATGTAGAGCTTTTTCTTCTTTCTCTGGGCATATTAGCAGTAAATCACAGATCTCTGAATAAACTTAATTTATGTTTCAACTTATTTAATATTTGTAGATATAGATCTTTATATAGATCTATTCAATGTACCAAAAATATAAATTGTTAAAATGGAAACTGACATGTTCTAAACTGTGGAAATGGATAGGTTATGTAGTTATCCTATACTTACCATGCTGGGACGTGCTGCAACACTTCTATTACAGCTGCCGGTTTCACATTGAAGGACTGAGTGTAAGGCATGAGCAACAGAATACACAGCAGAGTAAACAGGAAAATTAAAGGATGGGTCTGCGTTAATGATATCTTCGGCAGTATGATTGCTGCAGTCGCAGGTCTGACCACAAAATGCTTCTTGCGATACATTTCCTTTCTGATACTGGTCTTTGAAGGAAAAGATGAAATCATTGAAACCGGTTATTTCCATTTTTGGCTCTGCTATCCCGATTACTGTTCCAATATTTTCAATTCCCTTTTCTTTCGGAAGCTCTTTGTGTAAGGACCAAGCATCTCCTGCTATCCACACTTTGTTTCTGACGTTGTGTTTTATGGCAGCCTTAATGAGAGCTTCAGCAGTCCATTCCGGTGCGAAAACAATTGCGACATTTACCTTTAGCGAATTAATATGTTGGAAAATCGTAGAGTAGTTTGTATTCTGATCAAGGCCTTTTGTGTAGGCCAGACAGATTTCAGTGCCCTTGATGGTCCTTATGAACAGGTCCCGGCCATCTCTGCCATAGTTATCATCAATGTAAAGGAATGAAACCCAGAGCCAGTTGAACTCTAGCAATATACTTAACACTACCTCTATTACATCCTTATTAGGGTGGACTGTTCGCAGGAATGAGGGAAAATTCTGTTTTCTTGAAAAGACAGAACTGGCAGCTCCATAACTGACCTGTTGAAGAGAAATGTCAGAACCTCCAAATGTCCATATACCGTAATTTCATCTTAAAATATTACATTTTATTTTTCAGTTTATTTTTAAAAAAAAAGTATTAAAATAGCTGAAATATTTACCATTGGAAAGAAGTCCATCATGAAAAGCGGAGCAACACTTAGTGTCCCTGAGCTTGTATAAGAACCAACCACTGCAATCATTTTGGACCCAATCCTGTATGAGGAGTTCCAGGGCTGGATGAAACCTCTATCAGTGATGAGCTTAAAAACACCCGGGAAGTTCTGTGTGTCTGAGCAGAGGTCTAGTATTTTATAACCAAGCTGAACATTTGGCAGCAGTCTGGTAGAGTTATTGATCTCCTCTATGGCGAATCTCATCAGCTGGAACCTCCGGTAACTTGACAGGATAAAAGGTTGACTGTGAATAGAAAAGGAGTGAAGATTCTGCATAAGGGAAGACTTTATGTTGTTACCCTTATAGATTTGATTTTGTAAAAGGAGAGTTTAGACATTTATGTTTCTAGGGTTGCTGTCGAGAAATGTCTTGTTCAGTTTTAGGGAAATCAGTGAAACCAGATGTTACTAGGAAGTCAAGCCAGCCAGAGCAGTCCCTGTTCCAAGGTGGATTTCTTTACAGTAAATATTCTGGATGTTCAAATAAGCTCTGTTTAATAAACATTAGTGCAAAACCAACAAAAAAAAAAAAAGTAATGTATCAAACAGTTACTCTTACAAGTTAAAAGTTACATTTCATCTGAAAACTGACCATGCAATTTTTTTGTGTCATTAATGGATCCCAAATTTCTGAGAAACCATCCAAATAATTTTTTTTTTTTTTTTGCACAGAAAATTTTTCCCATGAAATGAAAACTTTGCAAACCAATTGAAAATTTTATAGTAATATAAAACCCTTTTGTTCCAAAGTAAACTTCCTTTTCATTGTCCTGCACAAAACAACGCAACAAAATGTTGGACATTGGAGTTATTATGGCTGTTATGTAAACTCTCCCCACACAGGGTTAACTCAGGAAGTGGTTCAGATAGCTATCACCCGCATGGCTGCTGTTTACAGCCTTGCAGAAGTACATTAAACAATATAATTTGATGTCACAAATCCCAGAAAGATCAAACATGAAAATGTAAGTTAACTTAAATTACATGACTACATGTAAACAATTTAAGCCATATTTATAAAGTTTATTCTTGAGGGGAAAAAATTACATAAAGACTAAGAGTCTCACCTTGAGCAAGTAATGCTTTCTGGTTTTTCACGAGGAAGCCTTTCACTGACTTGATGGATGTCAAAAAGGCCGCCAATCAAATAATCCCCATCCAACTCGAACTCTGAAGCTGTGGTGTCCTTATGGAGAAGACATCCAAGCAAGCACAGATAAGCTAAAATCCATGTCATTTCCATGTTTGTCTTTTGCCACCCTGCTGTATGTTTATTACTGCTTCTCTCCTTCTGCTTTTGTCCATGAGTTACGCTGAGTGGGTTTCATAACCCTGGGAATAGCTAGCGGTCATAAGCACCTAACTGTAAAAGCGGGTGGATTAACAAATCAGTATGCAAAAGCTATCTTATCTGCTTGCTGCCAAGTTCTGGTTTCTGAAACAGGTTAGTGTGTGTAGGCATGTGTGCTAACACTATCATAGCAAAATCTGTAAGGTGTGCCAGTTAGATTTTAAATATACAAATGATGCGTATAAAAATATCTTTCTTTAATTTTCTTTCTAAGCCTGTGAAACAGAAAAAGGGCATTCACCTAGTCTGGATGGTAGTTCCTAATGTCTTTGCTTTAGTAATTTTGGAATACTTTTCTAAAACTTAATAACATTGGTTCCCAAAGTTGAGCCCCTTGATTAACCACTTTTGGGCCTTAAAATACACCTCAGAAATTCATCTTTAACATCATATATATATATATGTTAAAGTGTTTTAAGACATAAAATCTCTACATAAAAATAGGACAAAACCAACTACCTTGGTTGCTGATGCTGTTTGTATTATCTATTTTGTAGAAATGTTTGTAAACTCGACTAATGAGTATACAAACACTGATACCATTTTGTGGGTCAGATGCTAGAAAGTTTGGCAATACTTGCTTTAGTGCATCCATGAGCTTCAAATGGGTTCATCATACAATGATTTGGTATATTGCACACATTTATTGATGTTAATTATATCTAAGAAATAAAAAAGCTAAAAATTTTAATAAAAGCAAAAATAATTTTCTTTAATGCATATCAGGGAACAGAAAACTGTCTGCGCACTGTGCAGTAGATGCTCTATTAGTTTGAGCCCATTTGGTAAAGTTATTTTAGTGTGGTTTGGAGTTGATCAGCTAGAGGTTCTGCTCTGTTGGGGTTGCTTTAATGACTTTTGGTTGTCTGCACTGTACAGTGGGATCTGGTGTCTTTCATCTTCGGCTCAACAACAAACCACCAGGTTTAGCTCAAGAGAGTTAGCTAGCCAATTAAAACAGTTTCATCATAGTTATTACGGCAGTTAACACTAAGCCCAAAAAACAAAATCAGCATTTCCACAAAGCATGTCAACACAGGGAGTAAGCGGTTCTCAGCAGGTGGCAGGGCTTCAGGTTTGCAATCAGCTTTACACAAGGGGATGCAGTCCATAGTATCTATGGTAACTCCAAAAGTACATATCTATGGCTAAACTTAACATAACATGTATGTTTTAAAGAATCTGACTTGAATTTGCATGGGTAAATCCTCCATTAGACTTAACATATGAAGCTGACACAGTTTTGGTACTGTTCTGAAAGGACACAGCCTCTTTAATAGCATTTGGAGTGGAAAAAAAAATTACACTTCCATTCTTAAAATCAGGTTGTTTTGTTTTATCTTTTTTTTTTTACTGTTGCACAAGAAAATAACATGCAATCCATGAAAAACATTAAATTCAACTCAGGGACCCAATTAATCACTTTGTCTTCCATCAGTTTGAGCTGTAATGGATTTTAATACGGGGAAATTACAAGGTGGATGAAAAAAAATTAAAGAGATTTTAGTTTCAAAACAAAAATTATATTTTAAAATATATATATACTGTATATACACAAATCCAGACAACCCTTTGAAACACAATATTTTTACAGGAAAATGTGATGATCCCTTACTACAGTGTAGCTCAAAGTTTAGTATTGACAGATTACTAGCACTTTGTTACGAGGAAAAAAAAAATCAAAAGGTTCATAGAAAAAATGTACGATCGCCACCAACTTCATCCATTTGTTTTATTAAAAGGGGTCAATCTGTTGTCCTATGTTTCCTCTGCAAAAGAAAGAGAACAACAGTTTGCTTGGAATGACTTAACCTTTTTTTTCTCCTTAGGATAAAGCAGATTTTAAAGGGCAACAACAGTTTGCAAAAACTAAAATAACCCTGAACTTTGGAGCACATGGGAAAATGCTTCAAAGCGAACAGACACTTTGGAATTGAACTCAATTTCAACAAATACTGATTATGCACTTTGGAGGAAAACTGTCCTTTTTTTTTTTTAAATATAAAGAATAATGGAAGTCAAAGAGTTATGTAGTAAAGTTATGAAAATTTCCCATTTGAAGGCTTAATGTTGAAAGCTTATAAACATAAAACCAGCAGATTTAATGTAGATAACAGACAAAAGGAGATTCCTTGAAATATGCATTCATAAATATTGAGCCCCCAGACAAAGTAAAATAATATTAAACATTAACACCTAGTCTATTTTAGAGTCAAATTACAAAAAAAAACCTGCACAACCAAACGTACCCCTCCTAAAACCAAACCAAAACCACATCATTTTAACTGAAAAATTCACGCATCAATGTTTTTTGAGACAAATTAATGCATATTAAAATCCAATGTTTCTAAACACTTCCAGGCAACTTCATTTGATATTCATCTAAAAAACGTATGTGAAAGCAGCAGATACTGAGATCCAAAACATTTAATGTTTCTTTAAGATTTTTTTTTCCTTTAATCAAATTTAATATCTAATTACATATTTTTGCAAACAAACTTGTGTTGTTCATAATGTACAACTGAATGTGTTACAAATAAGCAGGAAGAACATATTAATTCAAAGTTGGCAGACTAAGATGGGAGATAAAACAGCAACCATCAGAAAGAATCAGAAAAGAGAAAATTTGACTTTAATGATATTCTAGTTTAGTTCGTCCTTATAAATAACATTCATCTATCTTATTGAATAAAATGCAGAGGGTAAAATTAACATTTAACTACTAATGCAAACCAATCTTAAAGAAAAAAAAATGAGCAAATGACTATGTTGATCCATGCTCATATTTTCACCCAACACTGTCATTTATGGATCAAAACTTTAATTTTCACGTTACGTTTCAATGTTACTGTCCATCTTAGAAAAAAAAGAAAGAAAAATAATCTCTACTCTTCATCACTCCCTTTTAGCTGGGATGAATGTGTTTCAAATGAGACTGAGGCAAGGGTGAGGTGGAGTTCCTAACTAGCAAAAGTTTTCCCTGTGTCTTCCTTGCCTTTATATGTCCTCTTCCCATGTGTGAAGGGCAGGTATCTGTACTTGACCATATGCTAGGGAAAAGCAGAAAAGAAGGAAAGTTATCAACAGTTGAGACAAAATAAAGTGTTTTGATGACAAAAAAGGAAGGACATGCACACTTTTTGTCACACAAATAAATCACATTATATTCCAAAATAAACTGATATTTGTTTTCCTCATTTAAGAACTTTAAATCCTTTTAATTAGTTATTTTCCATACAGAGGTCAATGTTTTTCATTCTTTTGGAGACATAAGAAACATTCTCCCTCCCATCCACGACACATTTACAGCTGATTGGAACAATTCTTTTCTGCTTTAATTTATAATGTAAATTTTTTTTCTATTTATTTATTTTTTTTATGTTTTAAGCCGGGCGTTCACTGTGCGATTTTTTTCAATTGTTGCGCGCAGCTGCTGCTCACACTGTACAATTAACCCAGGGGTTTAGTAGTGTTCATTGTGAGCTCACAGCTCACGATGTATGTGCAGAACGACGCTCTCATGCGATCTACCTGCTCACACTGTACGACTAAAAATCACGTCGGACTCAGCTCCGCAGTGAGATGGAGCTGCTCTGTAGCTCTCTGTGCTGAAGTCCAACAAATAGATGAGGAATATGAAGCTCACTATAGTGAACCGCGCTACCTTGTCAATTTGTGCAATTTTGTGCTGAAAATCCTAAAAAGAAAAGGCGACGACATATTTGAAAAAAAGAAAATACGTGGCTACTGTTCTGTCAATTTTACAGACAGAACTGCATTTCACTCATCGCATCCCTGCCACGCTGCTGTGTTTATATCTGAGAGGAAGAATAAAAAGAAGAATCCTTGTTTGCGCCCTGAGCGATTTGTCCACGACGGTCGGGAGAAAATCAAACATGTTTGATATTCTCCAGACCTCGCGATTCCTGATCGGCTGACCGCCGCTCGTAACCCCCGTACACTACACGACTCATGATCAGGCTGAAAGTCGGCCCGATCGGAAAATTCTCACACGACTGGAAAATCGCCCCGAAAACCGCACAGTGTACGGCGCGCTTTACTGAAATCATCCACTGCTTTTAATGTGTGTGTGTTGTTGGTGGTTCACCTTAATCTGCCTCTTCATGGTGATGCAAAAGAGCATGATGAAGTACATTACGAGTATTGGCCAGAACACTGGAACGTTAAAGGCCTCGAAAAACGTGCAAATCATGGCGATGACGATGCCTTTTGTCGCAGAGTGCCTGTCACAAGAGAGAGCAGAAAACAGGGACTTTTGCAAACATTCGTTTAGAAATTTTTATGACAAAATTTATAAGATTAAAAAGAAAATGTCAACAATTTCCTTTGATTTTTAACACACATAAAGCCAGGTATAGTCTATGAGAGCATCAGTCATAGATGACATCATAAATAGCATCTTTTTAAGAGACATGCATGTTCTGCTACACTAAAACATGTAAAAGTATCTTTTATATTAATCCAGGTTGCCTCCTAGTTAGAGGATGTATGCAAAAAGGTGATGTATGAACTGCAAGGTCAAAAAAAAAAGTCTGTATCAAGCCTAATAATGTGCCAAAAATATAGATAAAAACTGAATGGTTTTACATCTGTATATTTAACAGCAGGCATCAATAGAAGCCATCAGAATAACCCCCATAGATAGAGTTCAATGTGGAGCACTGACCTACGTGATGGATAATATAAAAAAAAAATAATAATAATATTACAAGTATTACTGCTTAAGCTCAGTGTGCTTCATAATCTAAATCTGGCAAATCAAGATCTGCTACAACCATTTTAAATAGTTATTGGTAGGTTGCTACCAGATACCTTATTTGGTAGGTTTGGCTCAGAACACCAATTAACAGCAACACAGACATTATCTCCTGCAGGTAAAAATATAAGGAACTTGCCACAAGCAAGCACTATCAGAAGATAAAAAACATACACTGATAGCTAAAGAGTGGCTGTAACAATCCAAAAAGGTGCTTATGATTATCCTCTTGCTACACCAATTCTTAGCTGTTTGATAGAATCAGAATAAACTAAAAAGGAATTTCAATTTTAATTAATAACAGACAGACTCCTTTTTAGCTCAGCCCCTTTCATACATTGTTAAAGCTAATAACAGTTGAGTTATTACAGGGATGGAGAGCAAACACAGAAAAGCCCAGGGGTCAATGAACAAAACACACACACAAAAAAAAAACAGACAGCTACAGGGCACCTTATTTGTATATCACGTTCTGGGGAAAAAAAGAAAAAAAAGAAAGAAAAAAAAAAAGAGTTGTCACTTGTACTCAGTTTTAGAACAAGCTGAGGAATAGCCTCCGGCTGCACATTAGGGGGGCTCCTTAACTGCCAAATTTTAAAACACGGCTCAAAACTTACTTTTATTCATTGGCTTTTAACACTGGCAGGACTTTATTGTTGTGTACGACGGAGTATTAGGGCCACACATGAAGAGAAAAAATATTTTTGCCATGACGAGATTAAACTCGACATGTCGACTTTAAAGTCGACATGTCGACATTAAACTCAACATGACATTTCAACTTTATTCTCGAAATGGCGAGTTTAAAGTCGACAGGGCGAGATTAAACTCAACATGACATTTTAACTTTATTCTCGAAATGTTGAGTTTAATGTCGACATGTCGACTTTAAACTCGACATGTCGACTTTAAAGTCGACATGTCGAGTTTAATCTCGTCATGGCAAAAATATTTTTTCTCTTCATGTATGGCCCTAATACTCCGTCGTAGTTGTGACCTTGTTTATTTAGCTTAGACAAATTCTTATTCCCTAATTTTAGATTTTTATGCTGCATTTTATTGTGTTTTAGCATTTTTAGCTATGTTCAGCACGTTATTTTCAGCTGTAGCCATTTTAAAGAACCCTTAAAAAAAGTTGATTATGATGATGATGAATACATACCAGCTGTTCAGTAACTGAGACCTAATTAGACGTTAAAAACAAAAGCCCTTAACCCTTTAAACACCTACTTGTTTTTACCCAACTAGGGAAGCTTGTATGCAGAATTATTAAGTTAAAACATGACCAAAATGTCGAGCCACCTAAAAAAACCCACATTCACTTCCTGTCTCTATTACAAGCAGTAATGTAGCAAAACTGCATGACATGAAACTTTAATTTGAATACAGTACATGAGTTAAGGGTTATACACCTTAATGTAAATATTGTGGGAAAAAAAAAGCTGTCATGCCATACAAATACTTGTTTATCTTTTAAATATATTTTTTTAATTGTTTTTATATAGAAAGTGTACAGATTATCCATGAAGAAACTATTATAGTTAAGAGTGACAATAGAAAGAGAATATTTTTCTCACATGTTTCATTGGTTTCTCCTAAAAGTCAATATCTTACTCCAAAAAGATTTTGCATCTGTTGCCACAAAGAAATAAACAGAAAAAATATTTGCAATCCCTCTACGGATGACCACAAGAGAGAGCCACAACAAGAGCCAAAGTCTTACCAGAATTTGAATTCAGGCAATCTCCTGATGAAAGGGCGGAACTCCTCGTTCTGCTTGGTCGGAAGGGATGGGCCCTCATCTGCAAGAGAAATAAGATCAACTCTGCTTTCCAAAGGCTTTAACAATCACAGCATGAAATAACAAGCAGCATAAAGAACCAATTTATACTAGATCCTTATATGTAACCAATGTAAACACAAAAGAAAACAGAGAAAACACGACTTGAATGAATATTTAAACAGTTTAGGACAAAACAGCACAATAACAACAACAAAAATGCTTATACGCAAAGGTGTTCCCTTACCTTCATCAAGTAATGAAGGATCCACTTTTGGCGACAGAAACGCAATGAACAGGTTGAGGTGGTAGATTCCCAAAGCGTATGTTACTATATACCAACCCTAAGAAGAAGCACAAAAAAGCACCACACTGTAATGCTTATTCACTTAGCAAAAAACAAAGAGACTGGTTTGTTAATTAAATGTACCCTGAGCAACAAGCCACCATTTCGAAGATGCAGATTAGCGGGTGTACATATGCATGTTTAGGGTCACAAAATCCCTACGTAATCAACACTGAGTGTACATTCGGATTTGACAAAACAACAATCAGGTTAAAGATTACCTGTAGTATGTACACTCTGATCATGTAGATTGCAGTAAGTAGTAAAGTGAGCGCCCATCGCACTGCATAGAAGGGTGTTGATCTGTCAAGCCATGTCTGATAGAGCTGTGAAAAAGAAACAAAATTTAAATAACCTCTGTCATCAAAGTTGTACAATATGACCAATACTTTAATAAAAATTAGTTTGTGATTTTCATGACAGTCACCTGTCCGATCCCTGTGAAAAAGGCAGCAACTACAGATGGTTTCCCATGGATTGACTCTCCAACACTGTCCCCTTCTGACATCCTGCCAGAAACCAAAAAAGCATTTTCATTAATGGTGATATTTATTGTTCATAGGAGCAAAACAGAATTTCAAAATTATGAAATTGAATTAAAAATGTAATATGTTTTAAATATCCCAAAATAGGGCTGAATTTGTATTTATTCCCTAAAAGAAAAACAGGGTTTATAAAGGAATGAGTAACTCTAATTTAATGCTTTTAAATGCTCTTTTAATGCTCTTAGAAACAATTTTAATGCCATCAACAAGTACCCATGACTCTCATATATATATATATATATATATATATATATATATATATATATATATATATATATATATATATATATATATATTTATTTATTAGGGATGGAACGGTTTATGAAAACAGTCCGAACCGTTTGGTTCTACTGTCTCGGTTCGGTTCGCGTGTGTTTCGTTCGGTTCATGCGCGGCTCCTTTTTCTCATAGGCGAAGTGTGTACACTCCAGAATCGAAGGGGGCGGTACTGCGACCAAAGCCAACCACCAGTAGTAAACAAGAAGAAGAAGAGAAGCAGCGTAGCCGGGTGTAGCAGAAAATAATCAGTTGTTGTGGAGAACTGTGTCGGAATGGCGAGTGGGAAAGAACAGGAGTTGGAAGACGCGCCAGCAGCACTTTATAGGTCTGCTGTATGGGACCACTTTGCATTTAGAGTGACCTACGATGACGGCGAAAAGAAAGTTGTAGATAAAAGTGCAACAGTGTGCAAGCATTGTGCAACACGTTTTGTTTATGCTAACAGCAACATGACCAACATGTCATGCTAACCCCGAAATCCCACATACTCCGTCAGCAACTCCCGCTGCGCTCCAGACCGGCAGCTCAAAGCAAAGCCTACAGCCCCCACTGTGGCTCCCGTCCGCTCCCCTCTGAGTCCCTTGGAGATGTTAGAGAGCATGCGCGAGATGATTAAATTCAAAGCAGTAAAACATACGGAAATGATCTAGGGTTTCCGTGGATCATTAAAAATAATTACAATCCATTATTTTTGGGGGGATTTTTCATTAATTTCATAAATTTTTATGGGATTGCGGTGTAACAATCAACATATACCGAATCGAACCGAACCGAAAACCGTTACCACGAAACCATGAATCGAACCGAACTGTGAATTTTATGAATCGTTCCACCCCTAATATATATATATGAACAGCAAAATCCTACATGATCTTTACCATTGACAAGCTGCAGCCATTTCCCGAATTCCTTGTTTTCCAGCCCCTTTTTGCCGAAATTTCATTTTCCCAGCTTTTTCTTCACCTCGAGCCTCTTTTCAGAAAAATCGGGCTTACAATCAACCCGAAGCAGTTCCGCACAAATATATCGCGGTATATCTGACAAAATTGTTTTTATAAACTGTTTTTTTATTTTATTTTAATAAAGCATTTTAAATACCACATAATCACATTTGATTAATTTTAATGCCAATTAAGGCCTTAATTTTAAAAATAATAATTTAATGACTTTTAATGATTTTTAATGACCCACAGAGACCTGAAAAAGTCTTGCCGATTTTAGGGTAAACTGAGAGAAGAACTCTACCCCAGAAGTTCAGCTTTAAAAATATTTAAATGCTTTTTCAATTATTTAATTTTTTTTTGTCTACTACACTCTTACACAGAATGTACTATCATACTTTGAGAAACAGCACAGATTATGAAATACAGTACTACAATTCTTAAATGAAACTACCAGAAATTCCTAAGTCTAGCTACAGGTTTAACAGCTAAATTCTAAAAGTAGCAACCAGGAAATTCATTTACTATGGAGTCATTACTGAATGATGACTGAAGTTACCTATTGTACAGAACCCAACTGACGCTAAGATTTATGTATAACATTGCTTATTAATTTAAAAAGCGAGGGTATTGCGCTGCTTTTACAGAATGTTTCATTTTAATATAAATATATGATATTAGCTGTTTTGGAAAACCTTGAGAAACTGGAACTGATTGTGGCTAGCAAAGATTTGTTTAATTGCAAACCAACAAGCGCAAGCTTTGTCGAAGCAAAATGAATCATGTAGAATCTACATAAAGGCATAAATGCAGGGTAAATATAATGAGATGCTTTTATGACATTTCATACGGAATTTAAATGTGAACTATACGTATTAGCTTAAAAAATAGCTATAAAAATGGCTAACAGGACATGTAAATGTACGTTACCTTTGGCCCAAATTGTAGGCTGTATGGGTTATGTAGTTCTTATACTAGCCTACGGTTTATACCAAAGTTCGTTGAGCAAAGCTATCTACCTACATTTCCCACAACTCCTACTTAGAGAGACCACGCCGGATCCTCGAATGAACGTGTAGTTCGTAAAATCTCTCCTTTCGTTGTGTTGACTGGTTAAAAGGGTCTGAAAGAACTACAAAACCCAGCAGTGCTTTTAAAAACTGGACAACTCACTTCCTGTGATACGTTTCTATGTTACCAGCGGTTTGAAGCTAGCCTGTGTTAGCATGATTGGAAAAGCATTATTCTTTAGATAACACGTTTATAGTTAACTAATAATACAATGTTTTTACACACGAATGTCTGATTTATCCTTAATTATTTCCACTCGGCGGTGTAGGCAATTAAAACAAAATACAACAATGACAGTCATTTCTTACCTGATATGGCCTCTTAGTCACTACCCGGCTCTACCCAGCTAGCTATACTAGCCACTTCTCGTGGGAACACGTCAGTACTTCCGTGAACATCAGGACATTCCTGTATGGCAGGCAGTTGTTACATTTTATCACCACATGCCATTGAAAGTATGGCAGTCTACCTTTTTTTTTTTAGAGCTTAATGTGTTTTTAACGGTCTGTTTTTGTTTTTACATTAACATAAAAGTATGATATGTTGAGACATTTAAGCAAAGATACAGTGGTTATCTGCAAATCAATTTTCAAAAGGGTGGCCCAAGATTTTCTGAGATCCTAAGTGGCGATTTTTTCTTCCACTCAAGCCTATCACCCACCAGCAATTAAAGCACTTCACTGTTTTTTTTGTTTTGTTTTTTTTGTTTTTTGTTTTTTGTATTAAATCCTCTAGGACAGGGGTCTTCAACCTTTTCCAGGCCAATGACCCCCAAACTGATGGCAAGATGGAGCAGGGGCCCCCTAATTTTAGATATTGTATGACATGGTGTTGTATCAAACTGGTCCTATAGTCACTCTATTACATATGGAGTAATATAATGAAAGTAATGTCACCCTGGGATTGTTAAAGTATTTCTGATTCTGATTCCTGGTTGATGCGACAAGTGTTGTGAATGAAACGGTGCCCAGCTTGAAAGAGCTCATGTGTGTCGCTGAATGTGTGCATTGATGACTAAAAAACATCTTCTGCCTCTATTTATCTGTTTACTACAGTGTGTTAAATTCATGTTAATGTGTAATTAAAGACATTTCAATTAGTGGAAAAAATTGCAGGGGGGGGATATAAAAAACATTTTTCTTTCAACCAAAACTTTTGTGACCCCCACGCAGTACCTCTGTGGACCTCCGGGGGGTCGTGGACCCCTTGTTGAAGACCTCCACTCTAGGAAACAAACAAAACTTGACCGTGTCTAAAAATGTTGTTCATAGTGTGCAGCATGTTTATACTTGGTCAATCAGTAGACCAAACAAGTTAATTTAGTCGCGTTTGTAAACCCAAGGACATGCAAAAAAAAAAAAAAAAAAAGATTGGTATTCTTAAGATTAATTTGAAGTTACAGTCAGTATTAAGGTTACTCAGCACAGATACAAACAGGGGTCATAGTTTAACTATAGGGAAAAGGTTCCTGAACTTTTTATTCAGTCAGAATCCAACCTGTTGCATTTAACATAATAGATTACACAATAATACATAACATGTAACACTCAGAACACAGTAATGAGAAAAGTGGTGTTAATACCTGAGAAATATATTTGACAGATCTAAAATGTTCATTCTGATTGGCACTAACAGGATTCTTTATGGCTAAAATCTTAACAAGAATAATTTTACGTATTCCAAATACTTTTTACTCCTAAGCTATTTTTATTAGAAGCTGCGTGCAGCCTATTTACATGTTTAAATATTACAAGCACTCATAAACCCACCTGTATTCCAAAAATGTTCCTTCGGAGAACATTTTGCAAATAAAGTAACTAAAAAGCATGATACAGACTTAAGAATTAAGCTTATTAAAGGGGTATAAGTCTCAGAAATAATCTTATTATTCAGTTATTATCAATAAAACAGTGAACGAGTTGCAATGAGGATAATACTGTAATTCACACACCTGTTCGCAATTGCCATCATTAAATTAAAGTCAAAATTGGGGTTTGAGTTGAAACTCTTTATTAGTATAATAAGGAGAGACATTGAGGAGGGGGATATTTGAAACAATGCTTTAAAGAAAAACACTTTTTAAAACAAGTTACACTGAAGAACAAGTACATCTTTTACAGTATTGTTTTACAAAGCTGGTACAAAAAAAGAAGGGCAATTTGATCAGAATATTAAAACAAAACACATTTCTATTTACATTTCGAAAAGGCGTGTGCTTAATACTGATCATTTGGACTTTTATGTTTATAGCATTAAAGTGCTTGTTCTTTCACAAAGGGATGAAAATAATTATTTTTCCAAGTACCTTAGAAAATGACTGTAAATCAGGGATATCTTGCCATATTCTGCAAAGACACGAGGAAGTGAAACAATATTTATTTTTTTTATTTGAAAACTAGAAATAAAAAAAAAAACTGGAAGGCAGTCCTAAACATCAGTCATGAAGACACAGTACACAAATTACTTTGAAAAAGTCTTCAGCCATCTTTTTTACTTTCCTTATCAGGAGCTGGGCATTCGTGAATTATTTCAAAAGAGCTTCAATGAAGGGTTTTTCAGTCTTTCCTAACTTGAGGGATGGTTTAAGACTTTTTCAGACTATTTTTTGCAGTACTCGACACATATGAGCCTTGCCCCGCAAGGATTTACAAGCTACTCAGAAAATGCTTCTTGAAAAACAGGGACACTAGTCTAAAATATAATTTACATCACTAATTAAAATCCATTCATTTCAATATAATACTGTTTCTATAGCTTTGATTTTCTGCTGTTTGTGGATCAGTTGCTAAAAATAAGGATAAACAGGATATTTTACAACATATCAAATCATAAAAGCTAGAACACTTGTTAACATATACAGTTACCTCAGTAAAGCTGAAGTACATGAATCTAATCTCGAAAATGACATTAAAACATATTTAATTAAAAGTCACTCGTGTTATTATAGTTAATAAAAATACATGACTGTGGTATGATAGCTATAGTTTTGACTTACTGTTCAGCTCTAAACATTATTTTCAAACAGGAGATGCGTCATTTAGAATCCAAATACTCTTAAAACCACATCTAGTCCAAAAACATTTACAAGATACACTAAATACATTTGTACAAGGTAAGAAAAACACGATGCAAAATAAATAATTTAACCAAGAAATGCTCCTATGTCTAAATTTGCAAGTTGGCAGCTGGCATTCTACAAGTTGAGAACATTGTGAGGGAAAATAAAGTTTGAGAAGACAAAACATGTAAGTTTTGTCAAAAATGCTTGGTTATTTCTCAAGGTACTTGTGGAGAAACTAATTGTTTAAGCTACACAGAGTAATCCCAAAATAAAAAGGTAGTTAATTCTTTGGGAAAAATAAGAACACTCAAAACCTCCAATCATCTTAACAGACCCCATGAACAAGCATTTAAATGATGTATACATGGAAATGCAGTCTCAGTGAACATCGCTTTCCATGAATTCCTCCTTGATGGAATGCTTGCTTCTGGACTCTTTGCAGTCCGGCATGTCGAACCCAAAGTCTGCCCATTCATCAGGAGCCGGTGCCATCCCTGATGGCCCCACAACCCCAGACCTGTTAGGGATTGTGATTGTATGGCGGACGCGAAAATGCACCGCCTCCATGACCCGCTGACGTTGCAGCTCGCCGCCAGTGGCCCCAATAGCTGCCATTGCTGAGGCGGCCATGTTGCTGCTGGAGCGAAGCAGCTGCTGGCCGTGGTATTCATGGTGATGGCTGGAGTTGGGAAGTTGATGAGTGGCTCCCTGTTTCATGTCCTGCAGACCTCGCCAGATAGTGAGGCGAGACTGCTCAGGTATCTTAAGAGCACCTAAATCCTGGTAAAGGCACAGACAGTAGAAAAATATAAGGGTGTGATACCATAAATGCATAAATAAAAAAGAAAAACTGCCCTCTTGTGGTTGAATAAAACATACACCTTTCTGGGGGCTGTTAGAAATATCCAAAATAATAAACTTTATATTATCTAAAAGGCAACATAGTTTCCTTTTTTAAAGATCATCTTAATATATTGTTCCCTTCACTTGTTTTTTTATATATTTAAAGCTATATAAACAATAAACTTGTTAGGCAAATTATGATTTCCAGAGTAATTACCTCCATTGTAAGGGTTTGGAGATGGTAGACAGACTGGAGGCCTTGTGAGGTGAAGTACTCAATGAAGTTCTGACAGCCCAGACTGGTGAGAAAACTGTATGGGGAGAAGAGCAGGGCTGCTTAGATCAGAGCTACAGCTGAAAGTAAGACTAATATGAGCATTTTTTTACTGAAGCACTAGATAGGATTATAATTGGTCTTAAGTTGATTGAGTAACATCCATACTTTAAGTTATTGTGTACAGATGACTGATTAAAGGACAGTAGAATTACATCATATTCTTGTGTCAGGTCTTGTTTTATTGCTCTATTCTCCAACTCCAGATTTACTGCTCAATTCTGTTATCAAGTGTTTTATAAACGATTACACAGCATGATAGATGCGGTGAAAGCGAAAGCATACACATGCATTTTTTATTAATGATTCATGGGGACATTCTTGATTTGCTGAAAAACCTTTATTATAAATACAATGAAATGTTAAAAGTTTTTGTAATACAAAGTGGTCGTAAAAAGAGCTTGACTGTACATCAAAGCTGTTCAAATGAGCAAAACAGTCTGAAAAAACAAACAAAATATATGTATAAAAAAGAGATAGGAAAAAAAGCTTTAAATTAAATACAACTTAAACATTTCCTTTGTAAAAAAAAAAAAAAATAGCAGTAGTGCATTGCAAAGCGGGACTGTATATACAGTGACACAATGAGGGATTTAAGAGCGAAGTATGGAACTGATAACATATTGTTGCTGTAGGACAGAAATCTCTTAATTCCATAAAAGCATTTTTTTTTATTTCTAGGGATTGTAAATTCATACTGTTTGGTCAGCTAGACATGTTTTTCAGATATTTCTCAGTGGAACCACAGAGCAATGTGAAAGGTGATAAACTGCGTTGATTCCCACAGCAAAATAAAAAAAAAGACAGAAACAAGAGAGCCAAGATTTTTGCCCGACAGCAACAAAATACTATTTCAGGCATAATTATGTCAACACCTCTTGACCAGCTTTGCTGTATTAACAGACCAAAACCTTGATGTTTGATTTAGATCACAGTTCTGCCTTCAGAGTCACCAGAAAGCAAATCTACAGTTACTACAAAATTCTATATGTTAGCATGGCCAAATTATGGAACAAAATAGTGATAATAAAAAAAGTGACTTTTTAACTTTTACTTAAACTGGACCTTCATGATGGCAGCAGTTTTTATTGTAAATAGATTTGCTTTGTATTGCAAGCTTTCATAAAAGCAGCGATAATCGTACCAAAACCGTCTACATTTAGACATCACCGGGCAAATAGTAAACTTGAACATGCCCCAAAGAAAGAAAAAAATGAACTGCTAAAGCAGAAACATTCCACTATTTCACATTAAACCAAACGAGTGCATCTGACTTTCAGCTGGCCTGTTACAGTGGGATAAAGAAGGAGTGTCACTGCAGGGTGAGGTACCTGACAAGGCTGGGGTCAGGGTTATAAGGTGGAGGGCTGCAGTGGGAGGCAGACACTATATTGTGGCTGCTATGGCCACTGTTCATGTCACCGTTACCCTGCATGTGATTGCTGTTGAGCATACTGGGACCTAAGAGAAACAAAGGAATGATCAAACTGTAATAAAGAAATTGTCTTAATAAGTCTGCATAAAGTTTATTATCAAACGTTATATCACACAGAACATAAACATATTGTTAATATTTACCCATGTGAGCGATGGTGGGGTTTGCAGTGGGATGCTGCTGAGGTTGGTGCCCCACCATTTGGTTGACGGATTGTGTCTTTCCAAGACTGCTGTGTGAATGCATCTTGTTCATGTTGGACAATGGAGAATAAGAGGACGGGGAAGCTATATGGTTCCTATTGGAAGAAAATAACAAAAAAGATAATGAACATAATCTATATCACATTTCAAAGATATAAAGTTCAGTTACACAAAAAAACCCAACAAAATATGTCCTTTATATTGTTTTTCCACACATAGTTCAAATCTAGTGAAAAAAATGAAACAAAAAGCAGTTAGCATGATTAAATAATAATAGTCAAATGTTGCTCTTTTTCTTAAGTCAGTGTATTTATCCAGCATTTACACATTAGCTATAAGACTTTGTTTTAACAATCATCAGAGCTGATTTAATTTATGTCAGCCACAATATATACACTGGTACAGCATTGCTTGCATGTGTGTTATATGTTCCAAAAATGTAAAAAAAAACAATCCACTGGAATTTGTTTCCAAGTCTGAAGACATTTTGCTTCCCATCCAGGAATCTTTTTCAATTCAAAATGTCAGTAATGTGGTGTATGCAGTTCAATGCAGTGAGGACTGCTCTGATCTTTATATTGGAGAAAACAAAAAAAAAAACCATAGACGCATGGCCCAAAAAGAAGAGCAACCTCTTCGGGACAAGACTCTGTGGTACATCTACACCTTAGGGACAAAGGACATTCTTTTTTTAGGACCAGAATGTTAACATTTTGGACAGAGAGGATAGTTGGTTTGAGAGGAGTGTGTGGGAAGTAATTTATGTAAGAAAGAAAAACCAACTTAAACAGAGGGGGTGGACTTTTCAGCTTTCAAAACCCTACAATTCAGCGATTGAGTTGATTTCTTCCCGCTATCATTGCAACCTCCACCCCGTTACAGTAGACCAGAGCAGCTCACCTCTTCAGCCAGGCCAACAATTCCCTTAACAACCCCCCTTTCAGAGACATAGACATACACAGGTTTTCCGGTATTACAGGCTAACAAAGGAACAAAACGACCCCCATTCCAAAGGGGCGGACCAGCTCGACAGTTTCTATATGCATATTTCTAAGCCAAAACAATAAAGCCTTGAACTCAACACTATTTCTGACATTTTAAATTAAAAAAGCTTCCCGGATGGTAAGCGAAACATCATCAAACTTGGAAATAAAGTCCAGTGGATTGTTTCTTTTTAACTTTTTTGGAATGACTATGACCTGGATGACTGAGAATCTTCACCATCATGTGTTATAATATGACTCACGGTCTCTGCAGCAGCTGCTGTTGTGTTTGCTGTCTATAGGAGTCCACCAATGGCTGCGGCACCAGCTCCACCAGCTCTAAACTGTCTTTAATCTTCATCAGAAGCTCGAAATTCTCCCTCCCACGAACCTGCACGCATAGAGAACATCAGTGATAATCATGGATCAATAAGTGGAGTCATTTTGGTATCACATTAAACATTGTGTGTGTGTGATGTCACAATGGTCTAAGCAATCTGGTTTGCATGAAATAATTTAAGTGAAAACAACATGCTCTCTTTAAAATGACATGTCCATTTGTTTGTAGCATCATATCAGAGGTGAGCCATCAGGCCCTCATAGGTGTCCCGGAAAATAAATAAACACAAAACATTTTAATAAAGTTTGAAAGATTCAAGAGTAAAATCCATCAGTAAAACTAATAAAAAGTAATAACAGATGTGGTTATCTGGAATAATAATAATGTGACATGAGCTGAATTCAGTTTCCTTCTTGAGCTCTGCACCTTTCCTCTGATTTTTTACAACCAAGAAAATAAGGCAATCAGAAATGAATAAAGTGTATGATGAATTTTCAATACTGGAGTTTTACTACTTTGGATTCCTTCATTGTGTATTCTGACTATTGCATTGATCAGCAAGTATGGTCGTTTTCATCCCCAAACAAAGATATTCTGGCTGGTGAATGAAACAAACACTGAAAACAATATTGGTGGATATATTAAAATAACGAAGAAACAGAAATAACCTTAATGTATATTTTTCAAATTTTAAAACAGTTAAACAATGAAAATATATGCACAAAGAAAATGTTTTAGGAATATTTTCAGCTGGAAAAGATTGATATAATAGTGAATAAATTTGGATTTATGTTTTGTTTGTATTATTGTTCAACATATTAGGCCATACTACAGCAGACATACAATCATATTAATTATAATTATTTTGATGGTTTACATTGCTAAAAGATCAGATACAAATGAAATATCTTAATGTACTATTGACAGGTATTTCTTACAGGAATATAATAAATTTCTTCTTCTCCGTGTCGTCTCTTTCTTATGTTGATATTTGGACTGGGAATATTTGGAGGACTCTGTTTGAAATCTGCAAACATCACAAAGAGGTATAAAAAAATAAATTAATTAAAAGCCAAATACATTAATTAGGGAGATCGTTAAATAAATATTTGCAGTGTGGGATATGTTTAGTTTTCACCAACTCACTGCGCTTGTTGGCACTGCCGTTTTTGGCCACACTGTCATTCAGGGCCTGCTGTTCCCTGAAGTGATCCTCATCAGCTTTGCGGTCTCTTCCAGGACATGCACATATCCGACCCTCAAATGATCGTCTGCCCAACACTTGGCCACTATAGAGATTATTTAAAATAGAAAATGTTAAATCATAGTATGTGACACAGCTATATTGTAATATATAATGTAGTGTGAGCTTTTTTCTAAATCAATAAATCAAACAACTGAAAATTTGATTTAATGTTCCACCACCTCTGCTCTGTTGTGGACATATCGACACTTTGACCTTTTAAATATTGAAAGTTGAACAAAATGCAGGGTAAGAATTAACCATACCAGGGCTAAAACCTCCAGTTTTGTTTAAAAGAGCAGCACTGTTTGTGCAGACTCTGTGTTTCTAACTTACTCTCTAGTTTCCAAAGTGATGATGATGAGGATAGGTCTCCTGTTCATCCCGCCCACACAGCTGCTGTTGCACATAAAATTATAGAGGATGGTAGTGAACTCAGTCCCAACCTGAAACAGAGCACAGAATATTTTGGCTGAATTAGTTTGGTCTTTCTCACACTTTCTGATAAGTTTCAGAACTGTTGCTGTCCAGGCTGTTACTTTCATAACACTAATTCACCACCAGAGGGAAGTGTTGCAGCACACTTAGAAGTGAGAGTAGACCATCATTTCTTGTATTGCCCTCCACAGGTGCAATCACAGACATGATGATGCCTGTACATGTTTGCACATGCCGGGCAGCTTTATTTATAGCTGAGCATTACATTAGTGTACTCCTGTGAAATTCTCTGCTTCTGTGCAACGAAACTGACAAACTTGATCTTTTTTACTCATTTATCTTTACTGCGAAAAGTAAAAGCAGTCTGTCAGCTCCATGTTTTTTCTTTTGCTTTTTCCTCTCTTTTTGTCTGTTATATACAACAGTGTATTTATTCTGCTGCAGAGTACAACATTTACAAATCATGAAGAAGATCTAAGATTTTAAATCATAGGCTCATTTCTTAAAAAAAATATATTTATTTGGTTATCAAAGCTATGTCCAGCACTGTTAGGACATAGAGCACATGCAGAACGATAAAATCCCCTATCTGCAGATAATTCAAGTAGGGCTGCAACTTATTATTATTTTGCAAATCGATTAATCTGTAGATTTTTCCTCTATTAATTAACAATCGGATAGAAAAATGTTCTTTAAAGAAGATTTGTTAACAAAATTAAACCTGGTTAAACTAAAACTTTTCCACTTGAGGAGTTCTGGATAGAACATATTGACAGAGGAAAACGTTTTTTAAAATCTTAAATGATAATTTTGATATAATTACCGTTCTAAGTGGCTAAAGGCATATTTAACACTTTCTATACTGCTGTAGGCTATTAATTGATTACTAAATTCATTGACGATTATTTCAATAATTGATTGATCACAGTTAATCCGATTAATTGTTTCAGGCCTAAATTCAAATGAATCGTAGCTTTCTTTCCTGTTTGTGTTGTCATTTCTTGCCTTTTTGTTACTCTTTAGGCTTTAAGGTAAATTGGTGTGAAAGTCATTGCAACTTCATCAAGTAAACATATTTCATAGGGTCTCACTTTTATAAAGATGATAAACCACCAACCTGGGGAGCTTCATAGGGCACGAAGACACTTTGTCTACCAGTGACAGGATCATCCACATACTGAGAAAGGTTGTTTCCCTCTACTCTGATCAGGTGACTGGCTGGGGCTGTTTGACCTGAGGGGACAACAATGATTTATTTAGGTGATTGACATCAAAACGCTGCCTATTCACTGCCTACTGTGAGTGAACCCAACATGAATCAAATAAACTAATCAACAGAACTGAGCATTTTGTTGTATAGTTTTTCTTTTTCAAATAGTTATCCAATTGTAGTTCATTCATGTGAAAGTTAAAGCTTGGTTAGTTATTTATTTGTACCATCATTGAATTCCCGTCCAAGTTCATGATTCGGGCACCGTTTGACCACCTCCGTGACATGCTCTGCCTTTTTGTAGACTGGCATTGCTCGGATGATGCTGCCATGAGGAGGAGAGGAGGACACCTTGATCTGGATTGGGCAGGTTTTGGCAATCTGACAGTACAGCTTCTTCAGTAAAGGCGAGTACTGGAAAGATAAAAAAAAAAAAAGATCCAAACATAAGCCTTTCAAATCAGTTTCTTGAAGTACATTTTTCTTTTTCTTTTAGGTTTTCAAATGAAAGAAACAAAATCATAAACAAATGACAAGAAATGAAAGTTCTTGCTAGATCGCATACTCTGTGAACGGGCCAACTATATAATACTAACATGTGTAATTTGATAGGATATTTTTACTTTCTCTTTTAGTGAATTTTTTCTTATCGAATCGCTTTTACAATTAGAAACCTAAAAAAATATTGTTCACATTATTGTACAAAGATAGGATCAGACAATCCCCAATGAAAGAAATGTACACCTCTTAACATGTACTAATACTTAACATTCAAATTTCTGGGGTAGAATGTAAAGAGCACATAGAAGAACATGTATCAACCCAACGGTTTTTACTCTAGAGAAAAGAAAGCTTGGAAGTGACAAACCTGAACTGAAAGCAGAGGCATTTCTCATAGTGAAATGTCAAATTTTAAAATGAAAGGGAAATAAATATGTAAAAATGCCTCTTGCAGGGTCAGCAGGCAATACAAAGGAGTTGGGATTGATAGTGTTTCATTCAAAATAAATTAACTTTATTTTGGTTCTACAGTTGGCTTTATAATCATTTTGTAATTCTCTTTGTTTATATACAGTATACCTTATTGATTTAAAAAAAAAAATACTGCATGACTAAAATCTAATTGGTGGCTGTTTAGATCTGTTGGCAGACTGCTCACTGTAGAGCCTTTACAGAAAGCAAGGAAAGAACTGGGCATCCAGGGACGGGGGGATTTTTACAAGTTCATTACTCTTAACAAGTAAAATCAAAATATGCTGATGTTTGTAAAACTCCAATCTTGTGTAAATGCCTAGTTATGCACATGCAAGCATGTGAGGTTTTGGGTGCCAGGAAAAGATGCATAAAAAAACGCAAGAAATAAAACAGTCCCAGCATGCCACAACGCAATCTATGGCCTTCCAGGAAAAAACTAATTCGTCTGTTCAGGCTTGTGCAAACATGCTGTGGTAAAAAGTAAATGCAGCAGCACATCCTACAGGTGACATAAAGTACATGCAGCTCTGCATCAGTAATGAAGCACATCAAAACATCAGTGTAGAATCTTGCATTGTTTATTTTACAGATGGAAGAAGCAAAAACGGGCAGGAGGAAAAATATTTTTTTAGAACCACATGATGCTTTGAAAATATCTCCTAAATTTAAAACCTATCAACAGTCTTCAATACAGTATACCCTTTATTGTTTCTCAGAAGTTTGGAAATAACTGATTGCTGCTTTTCCAGCGATCCCTGAAACCCTCAACGGTAAGCTGAACTCTGATGTGCTTGACTGATATGAGGCTTAACCTACTGCTTGATGGAAGAAAAAATAGGATACAGGTTTAGTGAGCTCAATTCTTATTGTAGAAGTTTATCGTTCCCTTTTTAGTAAGCTTGTTATAGCTTTTCTCAATATTTTTGGTCATAAATATGTTGCATTTTATACAACATTTACTTACTATTTTTTGGTGGGATTCTGTGAATTATTTAATACAACACATCACAATGAAATGATCAGAATGGATCAATTGTGTCATGGAATAACATCATATTTTATACATTTCTGCTACCTTTTGTCCTTAATCTACACTCCCATGAAGCAGGCCTGTCTGATAGTCACAGACACATTCACTCACATTGGCAACAGAGGGGCTCACTGCCAAGCTTTGCACACATGCCTTTCGCCATAAGCATTGGAAATACCGGTGTATGTCATCATGAGTTCCACCTAACCTTCCCTAACAAGTCCCAACGGCCCAGATAACATGAATACATACATTTCTGAAAGCGCCCAAACATTTATTTACTGACTTCATTTATTTATTTCAAGTTGCTTAAATTAAGAAGGGAAAAATAACTATTCAATTGCCTCTTAACATAGCTGAATGGAGCATCCATGTAAAGGATGAACGAAAAACTCATTATCAGTTAAACAAGGTGTGGCTCTCATATTGATATTAATTGTGCTGACTAATTTCTGTATTAATTTCTGTTTGTCATAACAAATACATAGATTTTACAGTGGACTCTAAATTTGTTTTCAAGGTGGGACAGGACTTAAATTGACTGAATGAAATAGTTGGAATGTAATTTAATTAACCCAAATATCATCAATTTAAATCAGACAACATTTCATTCACTTGTTTTTGTTTTCCTGTAAAGTCTTTTAACATTGCAGCCTTTTGTTTTATAAATTTGGCATGTGGAAAAAATAAGCTCAGATCTTTTTTTTTATTATTATTTCTGTGCTTATGAGATCCCCAGATTACTTAAAATATAACAAAGAAGCTTAAAGGGAAATAAAAGCCAAATCATGTTTATTATTTGAAATAAAAAACTACTTTTACTACAGATATATTTTGATTCTATATCCATGGGATACTCATCTCCAATAATATTAGAATATCTTACTTATTCATGATGTGAATCAAAGAGAAATGAATTTGTTTTCTTGGCATTGAATGCAGTAACTGTGAAAAATAAAATCCTAAACCAATCCATGTTTTTATACTTCCGGAATTTGTACATCAAACCTCCCACACAAAGATCCATTTATTGCTGCTAGAGGTTAGGCAGTAATAAAAGATATGAATGAACGATATGTGTTTTCTTTTCAAACAAGAGACGACTAAATCCAGCTTTATTTCACAGCACAGGTCAGATTGAGGAGGTGATGAAAAGGAAACTTCATAGGATTGGTAAGAAAAAGCTTAAAATAGAGTTTTTTTTTTTTAAACATTTCCAAAATCTGTTTAAATCGGTTTTATATAAAACATTTATTTCTCTTCTTATTATGAACAGGTAACTTCTCATTTTTTACTCACTGGGCTTCAGCAGTTCTCCATGGTAAAGTGGTTAAAGACTTTGTAACATGGAGGACTGGGGTAAATCCCACTCCGAGATATGGGAGCGACCAAAAAGACACAAAAAAACTTTCTAGGCTTTAGACTGTTTTTAGACACTTAGAATCCAAAGCTGAAGGGTTACTACCGTATATATTTCCTATTTAATAATTAGATGTAATTATTATCATTTTTTTTTATAAACGACCCTTATTAATTTTTTTGTGTAGTACACTTCTTATAAATTTCGCAAAAAAAACAAAACATTTATAATACCCCCCAAAAAAAACGTGGTCAGTTTCTTAAACACTGCCACAGACTGAGGCATCCATCCTTTCTTCTTCTTCATAGAAGACCCATGGAGGCAGGTCAGGACAGGCTCCTGAAGACAAGGTGATAATTGCCAGACCATCATCCATGTACACAAGCAGCAGCTTGCCTGGTGCAAATTCAGCTGGCAAATATAAAATAAAAAATAAAAAACGCTTGTGCACCTTCAAACACACAGAGGCACTTAGAGCTGCCATACAGAGTGGATGCCTCATGTCGACACTTTTTTAAACTTCTTTTGAATAAATCAGTATAGAAAATATACACATTATGTATTTCTATCCAACACACCTTTGACTTAAACATGTGATATTCAATGCATATTTTTTTTGTTCTACAGAATCTTTTACAGAAATCTGGTTCCCAAAAAAAGTTTAGATGTTAAAGAAGCTACTTACTAGAAAAAGAGCTCCTACCCTTGCTATTTTATTTATACGGGTGATATGGCTAATCAGCTGAGGATTATATCACAGAAAATGAAATAACAAACAAACAGTATTGTTACCTAATTTCAGTCGCACAATAATACATTTTGCTTATTTGGATGTCGACTAAACAGGGAGTCGCCATCCACAGTTACAATGCTTTCAGTGGCTGCTAAGTTTGAGAGCGATTTGCAGCGTCTGAGTCACAATTTTTATTTGGCATTAAAACAAAGGGCCTTTCATAAACCCTTTCTTAAATCCAGATTTCCTCAAATCTTTGGGAAATTGGGAGAACATTTAATCGCGTTCTGTACAAAGTATAGGATAATTGAAACTCATTACACCTGAACTGAATGATAAAACACAGCAGAGATTCTTTAAAAAACGTACGCTCACCTAAAGTTCAAATAAAAACTCAGTCTTTGTTTGATTGAAAATGTATACTGAAAACCAGAAATATTGACATAGTATTTATAACATACTGGGTGCAGCAAGAGGGGGAGTTCCTGGAGCTTTGTTCATGCAAGAGCAAGAGGCTACTACAGTTCATCACTTGTAAATGAGATAATTCAGTTGATCTGTAAAATATTCAGAAATTTGGTGGATATACAGTAGCTTGATATTTTCATTTAAACAAAAGGTTGGATTCTGATAGTAAGAAGAAAATAAAGGCATCCCACAAATATGTAAAACAGAGTAACAGAAGTTTCTGTTAGCTGTCTTTGTTTTAATTTTATCAGAAATGCTATTCTAAAATGTATTTATATGATTCTAACTAATCAATAAAAATATCTTCAAAACATCTTGGTAAAATTAACCTAATTCTGCCCAAGGTTATTTGTTACATTACATATATGAGATAGATTATTTTTCCTATAATTATCACATCTATTTCATTCATAGATGCTTGTGAAAATACGCGAAAGGCCTTTACATGTGTAAAAAAACTATCTCATGAAGTGAGTTTTCCCAGATATCATTGCTTGGCACTGCAGGAGGAGCCGTGGTGATGTGGCCGTGGATGATGCATTTGGAAAGAAAGGGAAGGATGTATTGTGAAAGACTTGTTGAGACCTGCGTCCGAACGGAGAGACGCTAATAGCTGGGAAGAGGAGCTTCTCACAAGCTGTAGTGAAATACATGCTGGAGCCTGTATTTGAGGAGCATCACACACACCCCTACACCCCCCCAATCCCATCATAGGGTTTTGATGCGCACACTCAAACATATACACACATGCTGAGTCTGAGTGTATGGAAAGAGGTCTTATAATTTGACAATGCTGAGGTGTCAGATCTCATTTCCAGCCCTGGTGACGCTTGTCTGCATCCAAGCCAAGGCATCATCTTTAAGAGGCAGGAGAGCGGCAGAGTTTCAGGGCTATTATCACTAATGTGCTGTGTCTTGACTAGACAAGGAGGGGGGATTACAAGGCTGGCTTAACATGGGCTTGGATAGGCTTATGGTGTGTAGGGAAACATTTGGAAAGATGGGGGAAAAAGAATCGGTTCTTCTGTTCTCTGCCCTCTCTTAATGGCGGATCCGCGTGTGTGCAACCATAAATCTAACATTTCATCACAACTGCAGCTAAAGACCTGAGAGGATATGATTTAACAATAAAAGCTTGATGCAACAGGTAGCTCAATTTCTTGTAATCTCCAGAAGCGATGCTTTGCCACACAGTCTTAGTGGGAGGCAAGGAGCTGGGAAAGGAGGCAACTGATTATAGTGGAAATTCTTCTACTGGTATTCCCCACTAGTTGGGACAATAAGGAAGAAAAATGAATGAACAAGCAAACTTATATGCTAAGCTACATTCAGCAAAGACTGTATTTCTCATTCAGAGACAAAGGCTTGTATGTAAGAGTGTGAAAACAAATGAAAGAAAATACTAATGTATGATTTTTTCCTACCATAGAATTAAATATAATTCTATTATTGTCTTTGCAGATCTATAAAAAGGAAGGTATGATGCATGCCATTTTGCAGCTTAAGGTAACAGTGACCTGGTAAGTAAATATACAGTGCTGGACAAAAATACTCAGACCACAAAATTTAACTAACATGAGATTTCCTTTGGCAGACCAACACAAAATCCTGTATAGACACTTACTTAGAGTGCTGGGATGTTTATATTGTTTACATGATTTTAGAAATAAAAATTTAGAAATATGTATTTAGTACTTTTTACTCTGATTACTCTAAAAAAAAAGAAGAAACCAACTGCATTCAGAAGTCATCCCAACCTCAAAAAATGGAGGTGGTATCAGCATGCTGCGATGATCTTCTTTTCAGCAGGGAGTGGGAAGCTGGTTGGAAATTGTGGGAATGAAGCTGCTATAATGCAGTTCTGAAACCATGTTAGAGAAATTACATTTTTTCAAAACCACCTTTGTGTTGGATTATTGCAAATTTATAACCATAGCCAATATAGACCAGATCATTCAAAGAAAATTCATGTCTTAAGTCAATGTTGTAGGTATAATCGCAGAAAAGGTGTCAACTGACAGTATTAAGTTAAGGGCACAGAAAAGAAATGCTTTTCTGATTTCACCACATTTGACTAAACACAGTAAGTTGGAATATAACTTTAAAGTATTAAACTCATCCTACTTTGATGCAAATGAATTGTATGTAATGCAATGTCATGTAGAAATATTTAAAAAAGCATGCAGCATTAGTTCATCCAACATGTCCTTTTGTCTTACGAATTATTTTTATATTTGATTTAGTTTTATAGAATCTTGTTTACTCTGATTTATTTGTATTGATAATTAAATCATGTCCAAAACAAAAATATAAACAATAAAATTGATAAAAATTTTAACTCGTGTTAAAAACAGTGTCACAACTAACTTCCACTACATGTTAATACTTTTTGTTAGTACTAAACATAAAAGTTTTCTTAATTTTTTTTTTTTTTTTTTTTATCCCATCCTGACTTTGTTTGAACTATTTTATTGCCAAGCCAAGAAGATGGAATGCAGCATTATATTAGATTAGATAAGATTAAATCACCTTTTTCCCCTCCTGTTCTGATCCCCTTGTTTAATGGCAGTGGAAGAATTAAATTAATCATGGGTTATCTTCTCTACCCCTATACTCTGCTGGGTCATCATTTTAAGTCATTTTCCAATCAAAAAATGCTTTGTGTCTTGTCTTAAGATCATAGTAAAACAGCTCAGCCTTTAGATTAAACAAAAGTAAACCAGGGAGAACTAATGTTTTCTTCTCGAAGAATTAACAAGCATTCCTTTACCTATGATTTATTTATCTTATTTTTTTGTGTGTCTGCCATATCTTCTAACACAGGGAAACTTAACAGAGTTTGGCAAAGAGTTATCTTTCTGTTAAAAAAGCGTTGCTTCTGTCCACTGTGGCCATTTATTTACTCAGGGACTCAAAGCAGCCAACAGGACTATCTTAATAAAAAAACTAGCACCAGATGCTGATTCAACTCTATTGTAGGCCTGCAACTAAGGCTCATTTTGCTAATCAGTTATTGTGTTGATTATTAATATTCGGATAGCAAAAGTTCCTCTGAAGAAGATTTTTTTTTTGCAGAATTTCTACCAGGTAAAACTAAAACTTTTCCATTTAAGGAGTTCTGGATAGAGCATAATGATGGAGCAAAACAGTTTTAATATAATTATTATAATTACTGCTCTTACTGGGTTGCTTTGTCCCCTAAAGGCATGTTTTAACTGATTACTGAAATAGTTCACTTAGTTGAATTATTTAAATATTTGATAAATCACGATTGAACTTATTGTTTCAGTACTACTCTATTGTGTAAGATGTATCAAACTGGGATGTATGTAGTTCAATATAAATATGTTGACTGGGCTGTACTGAATTAATTTAATCATATATTTTTGGTTATTAATTAATTTTAATGAACATTTCTGAGCAGAGATTTGTTGTATTGTGGAAATATTCAAATACACTTCCTGACTTGAAACTAACCCTGTTTAATTCTATTGTTATTACAGGTTGGCAGAACTCAGAAATATGGTTTCTAAATCGGATCTATCTTAGGCATCTACACCTACTTTAGTCAAAAGAAATAATTTAAAAGTCGGACTTGATTAGTTAATTTAACGCTTTATAATAATATAACCTTTTAAATGTTTCTGCAGATTCTCTGTGATATTTATCTTTGAGTGGAAAGCTTTTTACTACTGAAATAGGAAAGCTATTTGGTTAAAGATGGGGTTTAGCTCTTCATTAACTCTATTAAGTGTCTAAGGAAAGAATCACTACAGAATCTGAATCTGCAGGCCAATTTGACTCATTGTATTATTTGCTTCCTTTTTAGTTTCTTTTTTGTGTTTTGTTTGAATTATGGGAATGTAATGTGGTGTAGAGATTTGAAGGAGACAAAGGGGATGCTAGACATAATTCAGCAGAGGATAGAAAGAAAACCTCTGGGCGCCAGAGGTGACAGCCATGAGTGTGAGCTTAGACAGGGAAGAAGGAAAAGACAGAAAAAGAAAGGCGGCAGGTCAAAGACCACAGCTCTAATGTCCAAAGGGGGATCTTCTTACATCACTGAGGACTGAGTGAAGGAGCCCATCACGCATGGTTACTCCATGCAAACACACAGCCCCCAAAGACTTCTGTCTCACACACAGCATGAAGGAAGAGCAGTTTGTCTCTTGTTTCTCTTGTTTCAGTGAGGTCAACTGTGCGACATTCTGAGGTGACACCTTTCCAACCAGGGGGCTTCTCATTGGTTAATGACAAATTAGGCAGCTCCCATTTCACCTGTCTCTCACCACTGTCACATCACCTTATACTCCTTAATGCTTCTAATGTAAATATCCTTGTTTAGGTTTCTCTAGGGGATACTTACTCTGGCAAAGGTGAAAACAGTAATGTTTTTCCCTGATAATGACTTCTACGCTTCTTTTACGTCTAATTTTCTGATTTTTAATAGATTTAGATTTTTTATTCTGACTTTATTCTAAGGACTAGAGTTAGTGGTTCAAAATTCAACAGAAAATGAAGGAATTTCAGTTTTCCCGTTTTAGGAATAAAGCATCTGTCTGAGCATATATTTGAATTTTGCAAAGCTAAAAAAAAATGCATCAAAGTTTATGTTATTAATTAATCTAAAGAAAATCTCTGTTTACAGTAATCTACCTGCTGATTATTGTTTCCATGTGATTTTTTAGTCTCTCTGCTGAATTTCTGGGGCTTTTTTAAACTTTATCTATAGTGGGATTTTTTGACAGCTGTCTGATTTATATTTGCAACGTATATTTTTTAGCCTGGAAACTACATCAGGACTTCAAAGGAAATGGGTGCAGGGTTTTAGGCACTACATAAATAGAAGGGTTTACCTTGACCAAGATCCAAGATCTCACAGCATGGTTTGATCTTGGATCAAACCATGCTGTGAAGATAAAGTGTTCGGGCTTCCATCTATTCTAAACCGTTTTCCATGATACAGATCATAAGACACCTAATGAATGATAGCCCTACCACCATATCACCTACTACTCTTGTTATTTAGCATCATTAATCAAAAAGTTGAAAACTATAAAAAGTTCCTTATCGGTCATATATACCATAAGTAATTTCACTTGTACCAGCATTTCTCTGCTGCCTTCATCAAATAAATTTTGAAAATCTGAATAGGAGAAATTATAAATCACTGAACCTGCTTTTGCTTGCCTTCAACACGCCTGCACATGTGCTGGCTAGGGTGAGTGTGAGAGTGAGTGTCTCTGTGTGAATATTGATGAGACAGAAAGAGAGAAAGCTTCGGCATGCAGAGACAGAGTGGCTGCATGTCAAGGCCGCAAACATGTGTGTAGTTGTCTACTCACGGTCCATGTGGCAGATTTGGCGGTGCTGGATTGCTGGAAGGACACCTGGAAGGTGTGCGTCCCCGGGTAGTCGGTGTTGGAGGGGATTGCTGGGGCAGGGGACAGGCCTTCAAAGGTAGAGTTGGGCTGGGAGTAAGGCGAGGGGGTGGGCACCGCCGATGAAGACGTGTTTTCGGAGCTGTAGGGGCTAGCGGACGTGGCTCGGCTCCCCAGGCTCTCCATGCTGCTGCTCAGCAAGTTGTACTGGGACTGGGGGGAGAAACAAAGTGGGAAGAGAATGAATCGGTAGAAAAGGGAGGGAGCAGAAAGGCAGAGGGAGGACACAGGTAGAGGTGCAAAAGAGACAGAGGTTTTGGAAGCTTAAAGGAGGTCGGGTTACAGGGAGAGCTGTGTGTGCATTGCGAGTGATGCTGCACGTGTAACTGTGTAAGTAGGTGTCCTCATCCAATGCTGTGCATTTCTGTTGAAATTTAAACATCACTTGAAGTTGAATACAATTGAGTTGCAGTTTTACATAGATCCACCGCCCCAAATGTTCCCTCAGGGATACATGATGGATCCACACATGATTTGGTCTGCTTAAGTTTTGGCCATCTCCCTTTTTTTCTTTAAGTATGTTTGTAAAGAACAAAGATGTGAAACATAAACAAGTCACAGTTTAAGATTTTATTTTAGGCCCAAACACAACTCTACAGTAATTTGCATTTTATATCATGCTGCAATATTTCGAAATAAAGGCATTAAAAAGGATGATAAAAAAAAAATCATAAACTTCAAAAGCCACAAACAGACTTTTCATAATGAACATTAGCAGTATTTTTCATAATACATTATGTTACATATAGTTTTTGATGATCAAAATTTACGTATAATTGAATTACACCTAAAAAAATCTGGATTGTAAACAGAAATCTTATTTTTCTCCAATATAGTCTGCATGTCAAGCAACTGCATTTCAAGTGTAAACTACCAGCCAGAAAAAAAACAAAAAAACAATTACCTTCTTTTTTACGTAGTACATCCTCTAAAGCATGGGTCTCATTTGTTAAATCTTCAGCCAGTCAAAAGTCCAAACACAACAGAGAGCCGCAGAGTGGAAGAGCATAGCCTATAACCTCAGACTACAAGCAAGGTGTGCATCATTGGACATGTTCTACCGCACACTCACAGACACATGGACTGCTAGGACAGGGGGAAGAAAAGGTGAGGACTGGTGTGGAGAGAGAGGAAAGATACACTGAGATGAGGGGAGAGAAGCAGAGAAGGAAAAGAGGGATGGGAACCCAAAAATTCTAATTATGGCATGCCCGGACATAGACGGCAATGCCGGGGCGCATGTACACACATGCTCTGAAACACCTTGTAAAGGCCTACTCTAAGTCAACACTGTCTGGTCTGACATAGAGAGAAAGATAGAGACTGTGAGAGGAGAGAGAAAATGACAGGCAGGGAGAGAGAGAGCAAGAGAGAGAGAGAGAGAGAGGGGAAAAAGCAAATTGCACAAAGAACAAAAGTTCAAAGGTCAGAACTCCCACCTTCCTGCATTGTGGATCAATCTCACTCTAAATAAGAATCAGAATCAGCTTTATTGGCCAAGTTTGTTTGCACAACAAGGAATTTGACTTCCTTGTTAGTCAACATAGGCCAAAAAAAAAAAAAAACAATAAAAGGTGATAAAGTGGTCAGGAGGTCAGGCATTCTCAGAAACAGAGTTAGCACAACTTTGCAAGCATAACGATGGCAAAATAAACATAAATGGAATTAAAATATGCTTTAGAAAAACAGGAAAGTATAGAGAAACTTCATCGTTAAACTGCTTTTTTTGTTGCTTAACTCTGTGGTAATTGCCAACAGATTCATGTTTTTTTTCTAACTAAACCAAGTAAGGATAACTAATATACTAGCATTATTGTAAACATACTTAAGGCATTTTAAGTTAAAACTAAAATTTTTCCAACTCAATATTGATATGTGGTGATATTACAGATGGATTGTATAAGCAAGTGTCTGTATTTAACATATGAAACTTTTTTAAGTAAGAACTTTTGTTATTTTCATTTTGTCATCACTTTGATGCTGTCAAGCTCTTTGGATGGTCATGGTTATGAATGATGAGGTTTGCCTTAAAAATTTTCAAATAAAGTTAAACACTAGGAGGTTATAGAACAATATATCTTTTAAACGTCAATAGTACTTGACTGTGATTTAAATAAAATTGTATTGTTTTCATTTTTTTTTTATAAAATGGGATCCTATTGATGTATACAAGGAGTGTCCAATTTGCAAATGGTAACAGGGATTAGTTTTAAGAAAGAATGGGGTGTTTTTGGACCTCCAGCAAAGCTATTTAATGAAAGAGGAGTTTCTTTCATTAAATTATGAAACGGAAAATGCATTTTTTTTTTTTTAAACAACTCCAAAAGTCCAACAACTTCTACTCAAAAGTAGACCTTGGTGCACCTAAGCATTCCCTTTTATGTTTAGGATCTAAAATAATTTATATATCCCTATTCTCTCAAGAGTTACCACCTTTTGTTACTTTTATCTGACTTTTTGTGAACCACAATAACTTTTAACTTGAATCTTTGGGCCCTGTGGCAAAACGTTTGGACGTCCTGTTAGCATGTACTGATATGTTAACCACGGTGTTTTAAAAACTATTAAGCTTAAATGAATAGTTGAAATAAGAGTATTTCATTCTGAATCGCCCAATCAAAGTCCAAAATAAAGTCCAAAGTTAAATTTTAATTAAATTTAGAACCCACTGTAAGTAGTTAATACAAGATTATAATTTGATAAATCATGGTCAGGTCTAAAGGGCAAGCATATGTTTGAAAAGAAAACATATTCTTGATGTTGTGACCCTTTTCTTCTGAATTCTCCCAGAATGCTATTCTATTGCATCTCAACTGGCAAATATATGTCCAAATCCAAAAAAAAAAAAAAAAAAAAAAACAACAACTAGTAAAACCCAGATGTGTGATTTTTGTATTTATGTTTTTATTTCTTCCCTCCTCCCTATGGAGGTCACATCCTGCTTACACGCTAATTATTCAGTAATAGGGGGCTTGATTTTTAGGCAGACAGAGAGGAAATGTCACTAGTTCTTTCTCCTACATTCAAACTTGTATTTGACTCTTGAAAAAATACTGTTTATACATATTTTCATAGAAAAACTAAAACAATTTTAATTAATCTCCAATGGTTCTTTTCATTTATTGTATTTAAATGTCCTCAGTAAGAGTAAAGTGGAGCTGAATCTTGTTTTTGTGGACAAACTTTGACTGATTGTGATTCGAAGCTTGACTTTAATTGACCTAAAGCATGTAAAATATCTATAGATGTGTTGAAGGTCATGGAATAAACAAAGAAGGGTAACTTAAGGCTGACAAACTTTCCAAAATAAAAAGGACTTTTCAGCCTCATTTCCCTTTCAGTAGGTTACTTTTAAACTTTGTCTCAGTGTTCCAAATTTCATCACCTTGTAAAACTGAATTATGGTTTCAATATGATTTTAGAAACTATCACACAAATACATTTGCATTTTATTTAATTCTATGGTTTGGCGGAAAATAAAAAAGGCCAACTTTAACGTCTAAAACTTTAAGCAAACTATGTTCATCTAAAAAAAGGGTTGATGCTTGGATCCATACAGCGAGTCATTGCATCTCAGGGAAATATGTGATGTAAAGCATATCAGTCAGATAAAGTGAGATGCTTAGAAAGTAATAACAAGCATAGCAAGTTTTAGGCTCTTAAAAGACAGAAAACTATTCTAGAGATAGAGATTTGTTAACTCATCCACCTTAAATAAATCACAATTAGTGTCTATACTGATGTTTGTCCTTCCTATAAATGGGATATAAAGAGTCATTGTGATGCCCCCCTAATGTCTGTTTACCACCTTACTCTATTATTAAAGAAGCTTTTTGGGTACAAAAGAAGTCCAGGTGTATGTGTCAACAGCTAAAAAAATATTTCACACACTCTCACACACAAACATACACACATACACTGATGCATGTATGTACTCCCAGGTGCACTCCATGGTAATACCTGAACTGAATTCAGAACAAGTTAAAACAAGAGCCTAAACCTTTGCTACAACTGTGTGAGCAAATGTGTGTACGCGTTTCCCATCTAAGCATCATGTGATGTCCCCTATGGGCAGCCATCCTGGTTGCTGTCACTCAAAGTTAAGCTTAAAGGATCAAAACACTAAGAGGGGAGGATTATCTACCTTCGTTCATCGGAGTTAATAAAAAACAATACGTCCAGAATAAAATAACTATCACCTATTTTTACAGCCACTTATTTAGCCAAACCCTGCGATGAGATCAAAACACTGTGGCCACTTTTTATACATTGTCTTTACACATTCACATAAATGGTTTCATTGCCATGCCTCTGGAAAATAGAAGCTAAATGCATGAATGAACAAAATGACAATATAATTAAGTGAAAAGAGCCTAGGTTATGTTTTACTTTGCAGATCCAACTATGCAGTTGTGAGAATAAAGGAAGGCAAATGCAGAGTTGTGTGCAACAAGGTTTCCCCCTGCAGGAAATTTCAGGCAAAATTCAAGATAAATTCTTAAGTCTGTTTTACAATATATTGTTATTGTAAGGAATGGAAGTATAATTTGAAATTATGCAGAGGGAAAAAACACCTTGTAACTTGCAGCACAAACACAAATTTAACAGTCATTAAAACAGAGGATAGAGATTATCGCAAAATCAAATCTATATATTTATGTGTATTATATGTACATTGAGAAAAAATAGCTTATAAACCTAAAGTACAATTTGTATTAAAAGGCCAAAATAATGCTAAGAAAGTATCCTCTATGCCATCACTCCACCATTATCTGCTCCATGCATTGATAGGCTGGATGAATCCATGCCATTTGGTAAATTGCATGGATGCAATCTGCAGCTGTAGCTCATCTTCTTCAAAGTTCAGCCTGGTGTGCTTTCAGTAATGATATATTTCATACCTGCTCTAACAAACAGTATTTCAATAATTCATACTATCCTGCACATTCCAAAAAAGTTTATAAATAAGAATTCACTGGACTTTGTTTCCAAGTAAGATGAGGTAAGACAAGGAACCAGCGCTGAGGAACTGCACAAGGAGAGTATTTATGCAAGACTGAACAAAGAGAGGACTAACGAGCTGATTGGGAGCAGGTGTGAAGAGAGGAGTCTAGAAATGAGCTCGGGAAAAGGAGAACAACACAAAAGGGCAACAAATAAAAACCTAAGAACTGAAATATAACCAGTAAACTCAACAAACTAGGAATTAAACCGATAAAACTAAAAAAACATGGAGCAAAGTAAAACTGAATGCTCAAAAAAACATAACAGAACCAAAACTGTGACAAGGACAACCTCTTTAGCACCTCTAAATATCAGTTTCTTATTTATGAAGCACTTTAAAAGCAACATTAGCTGCACAAAAGTCCCGCACAACAAACAGTAAAATTAACAGTAATGATAATAACAAGCAAAAACAATATAATAAAATCATCTCATAAAGATACATATAATGATACTTAGATGCATCTCTTTGTGAAAATGTGATTAGCATTTTGTCATATCTGTTATCTAAGAATTAAATATGTGTAAAAAAAAAAAAACTATAAAAAAACTTGTAGATTTTACAGCCTGTTGCTGTTTCTCCTGTCCAGGTAAAAACCCACAGGCCTACCATGATGCAGATTCATCTAACCTCTGAATATGTTTTTTGTAAATATGTCTGGCCCTTATAAACTGATGCAAAACACAAGAACATTAAATAAGCATTCAGCTCCCATATACGTCTTTCAAACAAAATTAGAAATTCTTTAAAAGATGATGCAGAAGCGATATGAACATTGCTTATTTTAAGTAATATACAAATTTTTGTTATTTCAAACAGCAATAAAAACCAAGACACATTTTAAATACTCTTTGCAATTATTAAATATACATACAGGGAGGCCATTTAGAACTCTTTACGAACATTAAAAATAACTGCTAAACAAACATCTGCACAACAATATTTTTTTAAATCGGTCAATGTGAACTATTATAAGCTTGCATGAACATACCATGTCACACAGCATCCTGTGGCGTCTGAAAGGTTAAAGCTGTTTCTGCAATGCTTCTGCTGTCAGCTGTTATGGTAACATCTAACTTCTGCACAGCCAGTTGACCTTACTGTGCAGACAGACATTATGAAGGACCGAAGACGCCCTGCCTCTTCCTCCTCCACTTCCCTCTCTTAACTCTGCCTTTTTTTTACTTGCTATGCATCTAACAACAATCTCACAACATATTCTCGCCCCGCCTCTTTTTTCATGTCATGACTATTCATTAACCAGCCAGGCAGGTCAAGGCTTGCCCACTTTAAGACGATATGAGAGCTATATTCAAGATTGAAAAGGCAAAAAACAGAGGTGTGGTTGGAATTCTGATTATGAGACACAGATTTATAAGCTACAAGATGAACCATGCCAAAATGAGTCCTGCCACCATTTTTCTATATTCAAAAACAAATTCTCAATGTTTCTTTCTTTTTTTTTTCCACATGGATGTGTGACTTAGAGGCCACCACCTGCAGAGTATTCACCTGCAAACTTAATACGTCTGCTTGTTAATGCACCCACACATGGACAAACACTATCCAACAGATGGCTCTAAAGTGGAGCAGCAAGGGGTTCCATGGGATTTCATGATCCCTTCCCCAACAAACACACACACATACACACACTTACACAAGGTCCCAACAGGTTACTCAGCATAGAAACAGAGAGGGAACGGGCTGCTGAATGGAGGGAAACTATATTGGGGGGAATTCTCCCTGAAAGGGAGGGAAAAGGAAAAAATACAAACAGCAAAAGCAGATGAATTTGTGTAGAAGAGGGATATGGAGAAAAAAAATACATTTCATATAAAAATATGATCCAGCAACAAAAGAGCACAAAATTCCTCTTTAAACCAAAGAAAAACTCCTGTTCCTACCATCACATTGTCGTTCATATCTCTGATGTGATAAACGTCCATGGAGACCTCTGCACAGTTTCGGTGATTCCCTGGAGTGCTGGTAGAGGCTACTGGATGATCACCTCTATGATTGTTTGTAGGAAGCTCATAGTAGGTACTGTCTGGCTCTCTAGAACAAATATAACAGGGATATGAAACAAATACAAAACATTTACATTCTGAAGAACAGTTTTAATGTACTTTAGCTTGAACAAAGATGACTGGCAATTTTCTGATTTTTCGAAAGCATAATTTACAATTTTATAATCAGTGTAGAACAATTTAGTCCAAGTTCAATCAGTTTACATATTGCAGATTTGACGCTGGTCCCACTCTAAGGTGGGAAAAATGGCAATAAAGAGCAGAAATACACCCTTTGTTTTTGCAGAAATACATTTGCTGATGCAGTTAAAAGAATTTAAACAACCTATAGCCTAGTGCTTAGAGCATTGCCCTTGGGTGCAGGAGGTTCTGAGTTCAAGCCCCACTCCCACCGACTGCCACTTTGGTTCCGTGAGCAAGACTCTTAACCCCCACACTGCTCCCCGGGTGCCGGACAATGGCAGCACACTACTCCCCAAGGGGATGGGCTAAATGCGGAGAGTGAATTTCTCCAGTGTGAGATCAATGAAGTTCAATTATTATTACTAAATATTTTTTCCCAGGTCTACCTATAAGATTGATGAATTTCCTATAGCACCTTTAAATAAAGACTTTGTATAATCTTTATCTGCAAAAACAAATGGAATCAATTTCCTTTAAAAGAAACAATGGAAAAATAAAACCTTTCAATTGTATAGATCAAAAAATTATCTACCTTGGTATTCTTAGCCAGTCAAAGGTTTATCACTTACAGAGAGCTCCACAGGTGCTCCAAGGTGCCTCCTTCCTCAACAACAGTAGACTGAGACATCTTAAAAGATGGACAGTTTGGTGAGGGGCAGGTTGCTCTGCAAGACACAAAGATCTTTGTTAAAGTTTTCTTTACAGATACTAAATAATAACTGAGTAAATCTACCAATTTTGTGAGGGGATTTTCAACTAGAGTAAAAGGGTACTCAAACTGTGATACAAATATTGGTGGTGCTTGACCTGCTAGCAGAACTCATGACACAGCTTGAAATGAGTTGCAAAGTGAATACAAGAGTACAAATACTCGTACAAACGAATTAACTGTTTTGGAGTTTTGTGAGGAAGGTGGCCAAAAGATAAATTATTCATAGATATTCATCTTTGCTTCCTCATAAAATTCTTAAAAGAGAAAGTTGCTGGATAGCAAGTCAAATACTCTACAAACTAAAGTATGAATTAATAAACCAGGAAAGGGTAATACTATTACAATAGAAAGGAATAGAATAGGATATAATATAATATAATATAATATAATATAATATAATATAATATAATATAATATAATATAATATAATATAATATAATATAATATAATATAATATAATATAATATAATATAATATAATATAATATAATATAATATAATATAATATAATAGAATATAATAGAATAGAATAGAATTGAATAGAATAGAATAGAAAAATGGTCACACAAAGGTGGACCTTAGAAAGGTGTATAAAATAACATGATAGTGAATTAAAAAAAAAATAAACAAATTAAATAATGTACTGTAAAGTGTTTTAACAATATAACAACTGTGCACCTGGAGAATAATTAACTATGGACATTTTTACAGTCATGGATATTTGAAAATAGCAGCACCATCAGAGATGTGCAAAATAACAGCAGCATGTCATTTAACTGACAAATGTAGACTTACCTATTCAACTCTGCAGTCTGAACTTGTGTTTAGAAATGACATCAAGACCAACTAAACTATGCTAACTAAGCTTGCTAACTCTTTTGCAACCTAGTACAAGTACATTTCCCCAACGTGAGATCAATGAAGTCAAAACCAATAAATAATAGTAATGACAAAGAACTCATTTGTGCTTTTAAATGCTTTTGTGATATATTTACAAAGACAGACTGCATAGTACTGTGTACAATTTTGCATATTTTTGTCATATCAAATCATTAACAGCATATAAATATATTAGTATCAAACTATTTATGTTACTATTTGCTGTCGCCAAGGTGTAAATATTATATTATATTATAAATCTTTATATTATATTATCAAATATGATATGATATTATAATATATTATAATATATTGGATTTTTAGGTTTGGATGATCAAACACTTTCTCAGAGGTTTACACTGTTAAAAGTTGAAGTTCTTTGCTCTCCTTTTATCTGAACACCTAGAATTATGTTTTTTTTTTATTGATTTAAAATTCAAATTTCATTATTATTATTATTGTTTTACTGAGAGGAAAAGTGAAATGAATATCAATTACAGAATGTTCATGTGTCTTCAGGATTTATCGAACAATTGACTTTAACTAAGAGCCATTTAAGTAGGCCTAGTTTAGATTCAAAAAATGTCCTGAAAAAATAAAGCAGAAGCCATTTTGTTAAACATCCATACGGAGTTTTTCTTTATGTCCTTTAATATGTTAGTCCTCTTGACTAGACTACGCCATTAATAGGACATGTAAATAAGCAAAAGCACATTTATTTTGGAAGCAAATTATGACCTTTCCCCCCAGTGCTCAGGAGGCCTCTTAAAACACTGATTTCATATAAAACATATTTACTTATTTTTTTTAAGTGATGTTGAGGGTTCATAACGAATAGAAAGTTTGGAAACGAGTTACCAGGAAGGGTGAGACACACAAAGAAGCATGCTAGCAGCACGCCTTCATTCAGGTGTGATTGCACTCATAGTCCCAGCGAGGTGCCACAGGGTACCAGGGGGCCTGAGCGAGTCCAGACTTGCCTCATTCATCGCCTCCCCATTCCGAGGGGAAGCATCTCCTCATCGCTCTCCGAATACCCGTCTTCTTTTAATATAACGACAACATCACATTCTCTCAATGGAAAACCATGAGCGCAGCCTTACCAAAAGCTCTGAGGTTGTCCTGGAAAGATCTAAAAAAAAAAAACAAGCTATGCCTTGATCTTGATTTTCAGAACTATTTTTGCCTGTCATTTCAGAACGAGTGAACATTGTTTTTGATAAAGATGCAAACAAGTAGAAGGTTTATCGCAGTTGCAGAAGGTTGAATGTCTTGAATTTCACCTAAATCTTCAGTTTGAAAATGCAGAAAATGATCGCAGGTCGATATCCAGACATGGAAAAAGTTTATTATAATATAGATTTCCCTATATCTCCATCATGCATTGCACTGCGCAAACAAAAAATAATAAATAAAACAAAATAATAAAATTAAATAAAGCGGAAAAGTGCAGGATTTTGAAATTACGCACTGAGAGAAAGGGTAAATAAGTCAGGGTTGCTATTGATTCAGCATTTTCTGCGAATTTCTAAAAGCCATTCTAGGACCATTTGTACAGGACAGTGGCGTGTTTCCTTTGCTCCTCACCTGATCGATTTAAGATATGCAACTCTGTAAACATCTGCAGAGCTAGATTTGTTTCTTTTGCATGATCTTTCAAAGAAACAGTTGCAAGGTCTGAGACAGTCACATAAACTGCGGCAGCTATGTGGCTGCAGAGCGCCGCTGGCCCTGAGCGCATCTGGCGCCTCTGGAACAAACACAAGCGCGCAGCCAGGTGATGGGAAATAATAGGAAAGAACATACCCAATGCACTATCGTATTGTTTACAAAAATAATTAGAAAAAAAAATATTTTTTTTCATTTAAGTGGGTAGGAAACTTTAACCAAAAGACGTCTCCAGTTAGTCCAGTATTAAAAAATGTTTATAGCTATAAAATTTTCTTTTTTTTCAAGTGCTGCTTTGTTTTCCGCAATTTTTCTGCGTCTTCACTCCACGGTTACAGCACCCATGACAACAAACAGTCTATACACGCACACCAACTTCCCAAGGGCCATTAAAAAAAAAAAAAAAAAAAAAAAAAATCAGTCTCAAATGAGCATAAATTAAATTTAAAAATTGTTTTAGTCTCCATCCTATTGAGCCCGCGTGAATTATCTCACAGGAGAATTAAATGTGCTTTTCATCTCGGTGAGCAATCTGAGTGCGTTTGATGTTTAAGTTTTTTTAATCACATTTGCCCGTTAAATGCTATATCTTTTATTTATAAAGCTATGTGTAAACTCAACTTGGTCTTAATATTATTAAAAGTGTCTATACTCTGAGTTTGTTTTCTATTTTTCTATAACGACTAAAAGTTAACAAAACGAGACCATATAAACTACTTTAATCAGTGCAAATGTTTTATGCTTTATAATATATCGCTTTTAAAATGATTAACGAAATAGAATAACATAGCCTACATTAGTAGTAATAACACAATAAAACCCAATAAACGTCGAAACACACTATAAATGGCACACAGAACTATAATTCAATTTCAACATAACATTAACCATCTTTTTATAAGTATGTTTAAATGATCTAATGCTGAGATATGGAGAAATAAGGGGCCTACCTTAAAGTTAGTCTTACTCCAATCCGAAGAACCAGGAATGATGTTGCATCCAGAACCTGTCTGTTTATCGAACATGCCAAAAGAGTGACCCTCCATAAAAAATGGAAACATGGAAAAAGCAAATAAACCAAACATATATCGACCGAATTTAGCTCTGATAAGAGCCGGAGAGCGCCATTGACTTTTCAGGGAAACAATATGAACCAGGAGTCAGGAGGAAAACTGATTTGCATCCTCTTCAGAGAAGTGATGGCTTTACTGATCGAGACCGAAGAGACAGAAGCCAAGCGTCTTTTTTTTTTTTTTTTTTTTTTTTTTTGCGCAGAGGGAGATGCGGTAGCGCGGTTTGGCCTCACTCAAGCGGGAACAAGATATCTTCAGTTTCCAAGAAAAAAAAATAGATATTAGCAAAGGGAATACAATTCAACGCCATTTTTGAAAAATAAATATGTCATCAAATAGTCAATAAAATACTATATTGCATTAGTCAAGCAGTTTATAACGACACAAACCTAAATAATAATAATAATTTCCATCTGGAACAAAAATTAAAACTATTATTATTTGTCTCAATGATTCTAAAATAATGTCCCAGACAGAGTAAACTAAACATTTCGTACTTATTCCTGTTCTATGTTGACAAAAACGGACTTAGACACTGGCACATAAAGAAAATGTAATAGAACAACATTTCCCAGAACGCGGAAGTGTAGGCGCGCGTTGATTGGCCAGCACCGGTGTGTCGTTTTACTCTCATAGAAACAAATCCATCAACAGTTGGATTAACAGTATGCGGTTCTTATGCTTTCAAACAAACGTAGAACAAGGTTCTTTGGATTGTTTATGGAACGTTGTGCATCTCACAGTCTGTTGAAGGAACTAAGGCCATCGGTGTCTGGAGTAGGTTTTGTTTACGGATCTGAATATTTGAGAAGGTTTGCTTAACCGCTCAGTAGTGCTACATGCTAGCAGGGAACGAGCTCATTTACATTTACAATTTAAAATAAACCATTTACAATTTAAAATAAACCCTAATAGTTTATATTTGCAGTTCGTGTGTAGGTGCGGTTAGTAAACAAACAAAACTGTTACTAAATGGGGGGGGGGGGGGGTAATTTATAACGTGTTTATTTTTTGTATTATCAGCATGCCAAAATAATATCATATTCTGTTTTAGTCTTTGCACTCAGAATTTATGTTTGGATACTGTTTTATTCTAGTTTATGGGCGTAGCTTCCAGTTACATTTGGTTCTATTTTTAAAAAATTTGCTATAAAAACTTTTTGTTTGTAGTTTCTAAATGGGTTGAACGGAAACATTTTGTTGGGCGTCTGGCGCCATCATGCGCCACAGATAGAGAACTACAATAGAACCTTTGTTTACATGAAGTAAAGATTTTTTTTGTACATTTTTTAAAGATTGAATTCAACTCACGTGTTTTCTCTTTACAGGAATAACTGTGGTTGTAAAATGAATTTCTCAGAGGTTTTTAAGCAGTCCAACCAGCTTTGCAAAGTTTCACCTGATGGAAAATATTTGGTAAGTGAGCAGATTACAGTTATCCCATCATGCTAAACTATATTCATACTAGAAAAAAAATATATAGTAATTTATATGCTATAAATATATATCTCAAGTAAGATTTTTCTGGTTGATGCCAATCTTCTATATAGATAATCTAGAAATGTAGATAGATATACTTTCTTATTGTTTGTTTTGCAGATACTGTAACAGGAACATCTGATTCTGACCTCTGATTAACTGATTGCTCCTCTGGTACTATTGTATTAGTGCAATTTTCTGCAATGTTTTGAATTTGTTTTTCTTCACAGGCTACCTGTGTCCAATACAGGCTAGTTGTGAGAGACATCAGCACTTTGCAAATTCTGCAGCTCTACACCTGTCTGGATCAAGTATCCCACATGGAGTGGTCCTCTGACTCTCTGTTCATCTTATGTGCTATGTACAAAAGGGGTCTGGTTCAGGTAAGAGATAAAGTTATTAAACTTAATCTGGATTTTAGGGGGAAAAGTGTAGTAAGTGATTCACAAAGGTTTGGTAGGGACCTACTAGAGGTTGAGAATGAACAAATTTGGTTTCCTGAGATCTGACATCAAACTCAACAAAAACCTAATTATAATAAAACATATTTATGCTGTATATGTATAACAGACAAAACACTACGAGCAAATGGATACAAGCAAATTAATTGATGATAATAGTGTTGTTGTTTTTTTTGTCATCCCACCTGTTTTTAGTTGTTTAAGTTTATACTGAAGCGTTAGTTGAGTTCGGTCATAAGCAATCTTACCCATTTTTTTGAGGGTCAGAAGATGAAAATATGGGGACCACTAATCGAGGCTTCCTTTTAGCTGCATTTTAGAAATGTTACAAATTGATATAGACATTCTGTTCAGATTTGTTTTCTAAAAAGCTCTCAAATAAATATATAAAGGATCATTGTTCAGAATTGTAATGATGACAGTATGATACAACTGGCATCACCTCTATAAAATACCCCTTTATGAAGCAAAACTTTTCTTTAATTTTTCTTTAAAATTGTGAAAGATTTTCTTTTGTTTAGATGAATTTTATTGATATTGTTATTTACTGTTTTACTGTTTATTCAAAATTTGAAACGTTTTTTTTTTTCCATTTCTTTATTCAAAGTTTTAAAAAAACAGGAAAAGATGCGCACTTGTGGGCCTTATTAAATATGAATGCTGTTTTTCACCAGGTCCATGTTTTTTTTTCAACTGGACAATGCAGGCACACATGTATAATTATGTTTTTATTTGATATAGATTGTAGAGAGAACTACATATTTAGAATTATTTGCAAACCTTTTCCAGATTTATGATTTTGTCCCTTTAGGAGAAATCTTAATAAAGAGCACTTTAGCAGTTTTTTCCTTTCTATTATTAAGTAAATAAAAACTTAAAGGGAATTGAAGTTTAACAACTACTTTTGAAATGTATAATTGTTACAGCAATTTACTTGTAGTAAAATGTTAACCCTATCTGAAATAAAAGAAATGTTTATAGACATTTTTTATTGAACCCCCCCATGCCCTGAAACAATAAACACTGGAATAAATACATTTAATCCAATTTAGTCCAACATTTAATCCAATTCAAGCATCTTACCTATGAAAGGGTATCCAGTGCCAGTCTTTCATGATTTCTGATCTCTTATGCGTCTTCCCAACTTTGAATCAAGTTTTAGAAATTACAGAGGCGTATGTTAGAAAGTCATCAACAGCTGCTAATGGCTATTCTTCTATCATTGTCTTCCTTGCTCTGGATTCCTCTTCAGGTGTGGTCTCTCGAACAGCCAGACTGGCACTGTAAGATTGATGAGGGCTCAATCGGACTAGTCTCCTCACGCTGGAGTCCAGACGGACGTCACATTCTCAACACCACCGAGTTCCATGTAAGTGTGAAGGTAGTTGGTTCATGTGTCCATGCATCTAATGGAAATGTTTTTATGTGTGCGCTTGTTTGGTTTCAACTGTTGCTGGCTTGTGTGGAAGGGGAGACCTGAAAATAGACAGACACCAGAGCTTTCCTTGACTGCCTCTACACCCCCCTGACCCCCACCTGCTGCATGTATTCAGCCTGATTTCATTCCTTCCCTCCTGTTAGCGTCCTGTCATACATGAGTCTGATGTACCTCAAACACATGGGTGAAATGTATGCGTGCTCTGTTATGATCCTAGTAAGCAAATTCTTTGATTAAATTTAAACTGCTAGTAAAAACAGATGAAACAAACACATGAATGTTTGTTTATGTTTGAAGAAAGGATTTGAATAGATTTAGCTAGCTGGGTAGACACAGTCTGTTGCCCGATGGGGTTTAAAGTAATCAGGTTTCTTTCTTTCTATGAATTCTTAAATATTGACCTCTTAGCAAATAATGAAAAACATTTTTTTTCCATAACTATTCATCAGTGTAAGCATACCGTGAAGTCGTTTTTTCTTTATCTCAGTTTAACTTTCTCAAAAAACTTGAATGTATAAAGTTTTATAAAACTGGTTAAATCCATTCAGAGAAGTTATTAAACATAAGAGAGATTATATAAAACATCTAAATTATAGCACAGAGGGTATTAAAGGTGCCAATTTCCATACTATTATTTCACTCATTTCTGCACAAGTAGCTTACGTGAATTTTTAAATACTTGTTTTGGCTGTATTTGTTAGTAAATATTAGCGTTTTGTATATTTATCATACCAAGACCAAGTGAAGTAATTGATCCAAGAACGTCCCAGTGAAGGTATGAAAAGAGAAAATTTTAGAATCAAGTGTGAAAATGTGCAAAAATATATTTAATGCTAAGAGGGATAAGAGACGAGTAGCATTCAGAATACAGGATGAACATAATTTTTATTACGGGAGGTAAAGCTGCTGAAGCTTTCAGATTTTTCTGCCAAGTTGATGGATGTGTGAGTACTATAGACAGATTATGACGAATAACAACAATGTTTATGTCTACTTATCACACCTGGTTCAAAAATTAATTTTAGGCTAAAAAGGACTAGGTAAAATATTGCGATATATATTCTGTGTTTATTTTCTTTTTATCTTAGAATAATTCTAGCTTTTGTGTTTTACTGCATTTTATAGGCATCGTGTGTGACTAGGCCCCATTAAACAGTATTTAAATTGTTCAACAAAGCCAAAGTTATATAATATAAAAAAAAAATAAAATAAAATACACTTATATGAGTTTAGCAAACTCTAACCATGGTTTGATGGTGCCTTCACTGGTAATGGTTAAAGACAGGGGTATTGGCTGATGAGTAGACAACCCAACTATTCTTCCCTCTCCTGAAAACAACACTCTTTAAGCACATCGACAAAGTTCTCTAAGCAGCTCAGTCTGCACTACTTTAAATCTATCAAATGTCTGGTGACATTAATTTTTTATTTAAATTTTTTTAGATTAGGCTCACCTCTTCCTGGCTCACCTACTCCAAAGGGTTAAGATGATTCTTATGGGTTTGATCATCATTTATTATAAAGGTGCAAAGACAAAACTGAACCCAAGATACATCTGTATACTTTTGTATATAGAAGACTTTAACATCAGGTAAATCATTTAAATAGTGATGTCAGGAATTAGCTCAGCTTTAACCCTGCATACAGTCAACAAGCTTTAACCAAGAAAAAATGAACCAAACTATGGGATCATACACATAAAAATTGTCTTATGGGTGTGGACCAACTTTATATCACGAATAGACAAAAATGGAACAAAATGATAGTTATGAACTATTGAAAAACAATGGTGTCAGTTGTAGATGTAATTTTTTTTATATAAAGTTGCTGGATTTGTGAATGTTTTTGCATCTTTAATATTAGTCTTCCTAATCTGGTGCTGTGCATTTCCTCTCTTCTGTGTCACACATTGCGTTTCTGAACATGCTAACTTCACATGCAAGCTGTCTCTTTCCTAGCTCTGATTATGCATAAAAATATAGTTTTATTTACCGGTACTGTTTTTTTTTGTTTTTTTTTTTTACACTTGAAGAAAAGCATACACATAAATGAAAACAAAGGGAATATGTCTAGTGTTTGCACTGGAATAAAAATGTGTTTTTGTTTCAATGCTCTAAAGATGGTGACACTTTAAAACACAGGAAACAGGACCCACTTTGCATTACTTCTTGAAGGTAATACTATATATATATATATATATTAAAAAAAATGGTATAATTCAATATCTAGAACTCCCTTTTTTCTAATCCACTCCCTAAATACTTGAAATTGGTTTAACTATATTTTCCTGGAAGCTGATTTGATTGATTAATAACCATTTAGCAAAGTTCAGACAAAGTGAACCCAAAAGTTCCAAAAGGACTTAGATCTTGACTCTCAATTAACGATTTTTTTTTTCTTTCTGATGTGTGGAGGTTATTTGATGCTCTTTTATGGTTTCCTCAGATGCTCAAAACAGCTCCATAGACAGATGCTTATTGCACCTTTTTTCTATAAGCAAAAAGACGCCCAGACTAATAAAGACTAGTTTAGTTATTTTCTGTTCGTCGTCTTTTATATTGAGTCCATAGCAAAGGGTGAGAAGACATAGCAGCTATGCTCAGAGCATGCAGAATATGATGGGGCACCATGGGAGGCCACGTCTGTCATGCTGAACCTGACTCCAGGACTTAGTTGACAGGTGCTGTGGTGCAACTACGAAGTCCGTCTGGTCTGGAGAAGGGTGCAGGGAGTGCAACGGTCTGCGTAATGACTGCTTTATGTCTGTTCCAGTCTTCCAAGAAAAAAAAAGAATGATGGATAGATGTTCTCTCTAAGAAAGAGCAAATGTTATGTTTGGAGAGGTCTGATTGGAGATTTGCTTAAAGTAATGATATTTTTTAATCAGTGATGCACCCTTATTGGTACTTTATCCATTTCTTATTGTTTTCCTAAGTTTGACCTTTTGATTTGAATTTTCTTGCATGTATAGAAACTTGTTTGTGTAAGGTGTATTTAAGAAATCGATGCAACCAGCACTAATCTAAAAAAAACATTTTTTTGAGGTTGTAGGTTATATCCCCTGAATGGTTGTTTGTCCTGTTTGTCTATGTGTTGCCCTGCGATGGACTGACGACCTGTCCAGGGTGTACGCCGCCTCTCCCCTGTAGACAGCTGGGGATAGGCACCAGCAACCCCGCTTGGGATAACTGTGATGGAAAATGGATGTATGGATAGTTTATATCCCATAAAAAGGGAATTAATTAAAGGGTCATTTCCATTTATTCAAATGCATGTTTTTACTAAAGTTAGATCAAACTGCATCACACACACGGATGCTGAGAAAGTTTGTGTTTTAGGTTTTTTTGTACTCAATGAACAGAGGGGGAAAACATCTGCTCATTGCTCTTGTACCTATTGGACTTTACTATTACTTGTCATTTAATAAATTGGCTGATCTTAATTGTTGGCAGGGCTGGGCGATAATTCAATAACAATATATATCGATCGATAGACGTGTGGCGCAATAGAAAAAAAGAGAGTCGATAAAAAAGAAACGCAGTTTTCCTTCCTTCTCATTGTAGCCTGGCATGTAGGTTCATGCTAGTCACTGCTTCCTCCCAACCAATCACAATCGCGGACCCAGGCACGCCGTCACAAAGCGCCGCCCTCTCAAACCACAACACAGAGCACATTTATTTGTTATATTTATTTTGGTCACTTTTCTGGTCACTTTAGTTTATTCTTTGTCAGTATTTAATAACATAACCCAGGTCTCTTAAGTTATTTTTCTTTAAAACAGTTCTGTTATGGTTAAAAAAGTTGGTTAAATAAAGATTTAATTTATTAATTAATTAATCTGTGTTTGTATTCTTTATTAAAAAATAAATCATTTAGCAATATTATAAAAAGTCCAGGCAGAGCTGCACATAAAATATGGTTTCAAATCTTTTCAATAATTATCGATATCGATCAATATGCATTTTTTTTTATCGATAAGCTTTTTTTCTATATCGCCCAGCCCTAATTGTTGGTCAGCTGCATCACTTATTATAGACTTTGGAAGGCTTAAAATCTTAATTACTTCACTCATGTTTTTTATGCGGTCCGGGAAAAGGATGGATTATTATAAAGTAATTTACAGCTTTAGAAAATGTGTGGGGTAAAAATAAATACAGAAAAACTATCTGAATTTCTTAAATTTTGTTTGTATCCCAGTCTAAAACAGTTTATTTTTTTTTTTTTTTTTTTTTTTTTTTTTTTTTTTTTTTTTTTTTTTTTTTTTTTTTTACAGTGTCCTGTCTGGCAAGGTGGCAATAAGAATAATTGTCTTGATGCCAAAAGGAGCCCAACAGATTTTACTTTCACAAGTGTAGCGGTATCGCAATTGCCATACCGCTCCACTTGTTTCATGTATATAAATTGCTTTATTATAATTATGCAGGGAGTTTTACAGTTCATATGGACACTGCAATGTAAGTAGAGCAGAAAAACAGAAGAAGAAGAAGGAAAAAGAAAAAAACAGGACAAAAGATGAAAGAAAGAGGAGATAGGAAGGAGACAATGACAAAACATTTTCAGTCTGCTTCAACACCTGTAATGAGATGGAGAAAAAAAAAAGAAAAAAGAACAGCACAACCAAAAAACATGGTACGAGATATACAATAAAGCAAACACCTTGAAACTATCACTAAAGTAATATTATTAAGTCTGACATGTACTCTGTGTTACCTGAAGATATGAATGTGGGGTTTCTGTTTGGAAGTGAGTCTAAAACAGTTTAATCTATTCATTGACCCATCTATCTCCCAATTCATCCATACTCTGGACAGTATTAAAAAATATATATATATCGACTAAATGTGATCAAAATCTATATACTTTGATCTGGACAATTAGAGAAACTTAATTAGGTTATTGACCTGAGCTTTACTGCATGAGTTATTTACCAAGCTTACTGTCGT